CCCGGTTCGGCCCGGAAAATTTTTGTACTAGGCTGGAAAGAAACAAAGCAGGAAATGAAGGGAAAATTATGGCACATCTTTGCAAAATGTAAAGAATAATTTAGCAAAGCCTATACATAGTGCAATTGCCGCTCGACTATTTTTATAAATTACTAAGTCGCTATAAATTGTCTTACCATATGGTTACAAAAAATTATAAAATTTTGTGTATAGCCACCCAAATTTTAGCAAAAATATTTTATCACAGATCTTTTATCGGATTTGAAAAAACCTACAAGCGTATTACGTATTTTTGAAAAATTTTCCTTTTTCTCTTTTTGCCAGCGTTTTAACTATGAGGTCGCACTTTAGAATTTCTGAAAAATGAAAATTTTTCAAATTGACTTGAAAATTATTTGGGCGAGTGGTAAATAAGGTCACTTTACGTTCGCTATCAGCATTGTGTTCGAAAAAATGAAAAATTCTATCGAAAAAGCTTATTTTTTCCCTGTTTTCCGGGCAAAACTCAGATTTCAAAAAAACCGGGCCGGCCCGGGCCTGAAAATCGAAGCCCGGGGTCGGGCCGAGAAATTAGTCGGCCCGGCCCGGGCCGGAAAATTTTGGAAAGCCCGGCCCGGAGCCATGCCTAGTTTACTCCCGGAGAACAGTTGACCCCGGGGCGCAAAAATTTTTTTTTATTTGCGTTAGTAATTCACGCCGAACTTTCGAAAAATTTTGCCGAATCCTGACTGGGAGGCTCCAGTCAGGATTCGCGGGGTCCTGACTCTTCGTACAGTCAAAATTTCCTGACTGTTGGCCCAGTCAGGAATCCGCGATTCTTGACTGGGTGAGGGCACGCCACGAAAAACGTAAAGCAAAATTGGAAATAGAGATTTCGAGCTGCGCCCAATATTTTTGATTTTTTTGATGGAATGAATATTGTGTAAGATAGTATTGTAACTCTGAGATTTGGAACAATTTCGGGAAGTATATTATCTTTAAAATTACGTTGCTTTGAGTTTCAAGTGTTGAATGTAACGGATGAGTCCATGGAGCCCGGCCCACCGCGCTGTGACCCAAACATTGATTCTGCAGCTATGGACGTGTCTTCAGAAAAGGTAGGATTTCTCTTTTTGCACCCAGATTTTTGATTAATCGCCATGTGGTGTTGTGTGAGACATCTTAGCGGACGTTATAAAGAAGAAATCGGGAAATTTTACTATAGAAAAAGGGCACTTGTCAGTTCATTATTGCATCATTTTGCAGGAGCTGATGGTGTCTCCAGAAAAGGTAGGATTTCTCTTTACTCATCCGGTTTAGGTACAAAGGAGCCGATCTGATTTGTGTGAGGCATCCTAGCGGACGTTATAAAGAAGAGACCTGGAAGTTTTACAGTTGAAAAAGGGCGATTGTCGGTTCATTACTGCATCGTTCTGCAAGAGCTGATGGTGTCTCCAGAAAAGGTAGGATTTCTCTTTTTGCACCCAGATTTTTGATTAACCCTTTCCGGACGAGTCGGCACCTCCATGCAGAAATGAAAGAGGGTACCCTACTGAGTAACGGCATAATAGTGGTTCAGCCCATCGAAGCGTTATTTGGGACTTATGACAAAAAATGTCCTAAAAAGTACTCCCAGTTGACATAACCCTTATAAAATTTAGCTAACGACCTGTAAATTAGAAACTACCCCTAAGGTAAAGTCTAACACTCCTACTACTGTTACATCCAAGAACTGTCCAAATTGGACCACTACGGGATTAGTTATCGACTTTTGGAAATTGAATTTTAAATTTCGACCAATTTTTGGCCCAAAATTGAGTATATCTTCCGCCGGAATCAACCATTTCAGTCTAAATGTGGTTTTTCTGAATCTAGAGTGACGCTAGCTTCTTCCCAGAATGTTTATAGAAAAAACCTATAGAGCACGTTTCTGTAAAAAGCAAAAAAGTTGAAAACGTAAAGGTTTCACCGTATAAAATGTCGCCGCAAGCCGAAAAGGGTCGGGCGCAGCTCGAAAGGCGAAAATAATATTTTTCTTCGAAAAATCTTATTTTAGTGTCGACAAGCTGAATTCAGATGAAATACAGACAGACAGAGCACGCAAACATTAACTCAATGTCATTTTAATATTTTTAATGCGTTTTCAGGCAATTTCATTGGATTTTGCTTTAGTTTCACACTAAAATAGTATTTCTCAAAAAAATGTATATTATTTTCGCCTTTCGAGCTGCGCCCGACCCTTCTCGGCTTGCGGCGACATTTTATACGGTGAAACCTTTACGCTTTCAACCTTTTCGCTTTTTACAGAAACGTGCCCTGTAGGTTTTTTCTGGAAACATTCTGGGAAGAAGCTAGCGTCACTCTAGATTCAGAAAAACCACATTTAGACTGAAATGGTTGATTCCGGCGGAAGATATACTCAATTTTGGGCCAAAAATTGGTCGAAATTTAAAATTCAATTTCCAAAAGTCGATAACTAATCCCGTAGTGGTCCGATTTGGACAGTTCTTGGATGTAACAGTAGTAGGAGTGTTAGACTTTAACTTAGGGGTAGTTTCTAATTTACAGGTCGTTAGCAAAATTTTATAAGGGTTATGTCAACTGGGGGTACTTTTTAGGACATTTTTTGTCATAAGTCCCAAATAACGCTTCGATGGGCTGAACCACTATTATGCCGTTACTCAGTAGGGTACCCTCTTTCATTTCTGCATGGAGGTGCCGACTCCTCCGGAAAGGGTTAATCGCCATGTGGTGTTGTGTGAGACATCTTAGCGGACGTTATAAAGAAGAAATCTGGAAATTTTACTATCGAAAAAGGGCACTTGTCGGTTCATTATTGTACCATTTTGCAGGAACTGACGGAGAAACGCAAGGAAGGACTGGAGAAGGCGTGAGCAAAGCTGGATCAGAGGAAGCAGACGACGTTTAGAACATTTCAAGGTAAGTTTGTGACGTTGCCTTTTTGATTTTTTTGTTTTTCTAGGCCATTGAGCTAATAATTTTCTCTGGTTATACCTAAAATAATATAATTGATATTTCAGCCGGTCCATGTTGAAGTAGAATGTGAAAGCCAGCATAATGTACCCATGGGTGTGGAGATTGAATTCCGAGTTCAGATTGCATCCGACAAATTCGATGGATAGTCGAAAATTTATGTAGTTTTAATTATTCTTATTGGTTTGATGTTTAGGTGGACATAAAGAAGATTTGATGAATTTCAATTTAGTATTGGTCTGTTGTAGCAGGATCAAACCCCGGAAGAGCTCGAATTCGGTCAGATTCATCGATTTTGATCCAATTTTGCCTAGTACAATATAATTTCTTTTCTCTTCTTTGATCAATCTAAGAAGTTTGGGGTGCATCTCCTAGATGCCTTTCGATGCTTTCTCGCCGGTTTCACACGTAAATTGTTGTTTATTAGAATTTTGGAATCATTTTTGTTATTTACTTGAAAAGGTTTCAGCGTATGAAATGTCGCAAAACATTTTCCCGCGAATTTCTCTATTTCCACTTTTTTCGTGGCGTGCCAACTGCAAGTCACGTTTGGATCCCTGAATCGCCGCAAAGGTAATCATTTTGAAACTGGCTAAATATATTGTTAATACAGATCCATGTTATTCATATTTATTGTCACTTCACTTTTCTTTAATAACAGTTGCATTTTTTCTGCCCCACCCTGCATTTTGACGTGCGCAGACTTCCAAATTATGAATTTCATTACGTAACGCACGCCACGAAAAAAGTGGAAATAGAGAAATTCGCGGGAAAATGTTTTCGACATTTCATACGCTGAAACCTTTACAAATAAATAACAAAAATGATTCGAAAATTCTAATAAACAACAATTTACGTGTGAAACCGGCGAGAAAGCATCGAAAGGCATCTAGGAGGTGCACCCCAAACTTCTTAGATTGATCGAAGAAGAGAAAGGAATTATATTGTACTAGGCAAAATTGGATCAAAATCGATGAATCTGACCGAACTCGAGCTCTTCCGAGGTTTACAAGAGTAGCAGGGCTTTGATCCTGCTACAACAGACCACTACTAAATTGAAATTCATCAAATCTTCTTTATTTCCACCTAAACATCAAACCAATAAGAATAATTAAAATTACATAAATTTTCGACAATCCATCGAATTTGCCGGATGCAATCTGAACTCGGAATTCAATCTCCACACCCTTTGGTACGTTATGCTGGCTTTCACATTCTACTTCAGCATGGACCGGCTGAAATATCAATTATATTATTTTAGGTAACACCAGAGAAAATTGTTAGCTCAATGGCCTAGAAAAACAAAAAAATCAAAAAGGCAACGTCACAAACTTAACTTGAAATGTTCTAAACGTCGTCTGCTTCCTCTGATCCAGCTTTGCTCACGCCTTCTCCAGTCCTTTCTTGCGTTTCTCCGTCAGCTCCTGCAAAATGATACAATAATGAACCGACAAGTGCCCTTTTTCGACTATAGAATTTCCCGGTTTCTTCTTTCCAACGTCCGCTAGGATGTCTCACACAACACCACATGGCGATTAATCTATAAACTGGGCACAAAAAGAGAAATCTTACATTTTCTGAAAACACTTCCATACCTGGTGAATCAATGTTGGGGTCAGAGCGCGATGTGCCGGGCTCCATGGACTCATCCATTATACTCAACACTTGAAACTCAAAGCAAAGTAATTTTAAAGACAATATACATCCCGAAATTGTTCCAAATTCCAGAGTTACAATACTATCTAACACAATATTCATTCCATCAAAAAAATCAAGAAATATTGGGCGCAGCTCGAAATCTCTATTTCCAATTTTGCCTTACGTTTTTCGTGGCGTGCGTAACGTTAAATCCCTGGGCGCAGCTCGGCAAGAAGTTTTTAAATTGCCGCGCTTGTCGGAGTCTTTTTGAGTCTCAAGTGGAAAGGAAAAGGCGCAAAATATTTTCACTTTTTCCTTTTCGTATTTACAATGTTGCAGCTGTAAATCCTTTTTTGGTTATTGATCTATCGTGATTGTTGTAGGTAAATATGGCTCGAATTGATAAAGATTACTTTATTAAACGGGCGACACGTCTCTATGAACGATGGGTAAGGAATTTTCACGTTTTTGCCTTAATTTGTAAATTATTTAACTTTTCTATGGATTATTGATTATTTTTGCCTTTTAGAACAGTGGAGATGATGAAACCCTGTCAAAGCTGAGTTGTCTGGTTTTCCCCGTGGGGACAGATGACAACTACTCCAAAACGCAGTCTCTGCAGGTATGAATAACATAGCCGGATTTCTACTTCTTTAGACATGGCTCTTCAACTGTGCTATCTTTGATACACTCCTAGTGTTCACAAAGGCTGGAATATACTTCCTTGGAAGCGAGAAAAAAGCAAGGTTTTTTTCTCCAGTTGAGTCAAAGGAGAATGACGAGCAATTCCCCCCACTCAACATTCTTCACAGGGATAAAGTGGGTGATCGTTCAATTGATTATTGTTGCTTTAGGCTTCTAAAGATGTTCAAAACTTTGAGAAGTTGATTGCTGTCATCAAAGAAAGTGGAAACTCTTATGGGTGCTTTGCCAAAGAAAGCTTTGACAGTGAATTCACGACAAGCTGGCAAGACGCTGTTAAAGAGTCTAATGCCAAAGCTGTTGATGTCACCTTGTCATTTGCTTTGTTGTTTGCCGTTAAAGATGATAAAGAGATTTCGTTGATGAGAAGGTCGGCTGAAGCCACTGCTAATGCGATGAATGTCCTCAAAAAGAAAATTGTGAATATTGTTGATACAGAAAAGGTGGGTGAAATGGAATTGGTTTTTTATGACTTTGTAGAAAGTAAAGCATAGCCGCTTGGCGGATGAAATGGAAAGGTTAATTGTCTCAAAGGAAGTCCAAGGCAAGTTGGCGCAGAACGAAGGAAGTCTGGAAGCTGGATTCACTCCCATTATTCAGTCGGGTTCAAAATGTGCACTGAAGTTCAGTGCAAATAACAGTGATAGCAACATTTCATATGGTTCTGTTCCTTGTTGTCTCGGAATGAGATTTATGGTAAGCTTGGCCTAACTGGCAATGTATGTCTATTTTTTTAGTCGTATTGTACAAACGTTGCTCGAACTTTCGCATTGGAGCCAGCCGATTCTTATGAGAAGGTTTACGACACCCTTTTGAGTATCCAGCAGAAGTTATTAAAAGAAATGAAGCCAGGAAACACAATTTCCGATGTGTACAAAAAGACGGTGCATTTTATTGAAAATGAAGCGGGGGAAATTTCGAAATTTATCCAGAAGGCTAATTTTGGGTACGTTGTTAAATGCGCATTTCTTTATGAATTGTAGTTTTGCCACTGGTATCGAATTTCGAGATGGTCAATTTTTGATTAACGAGAAATGCAAACAAGTTCTTCAACCGAACATGACCTTTGTTGTTTCGATCGGAGCTCAAGACTTTCCAAATCCAGGTGCAACGAATGATGAGTACAAGACAACATCAATTTGGTTGAGTGACACAATTTTGGTTACGAAGGAAGGCCCCTGTGAAGTGTTGACGATGTCCGCTAAAAGTCAGTTCAAAGCAAATGCCATCCGGTTAAAGAACAGCGAAGATGAGCAAGTCAAAGAAGTCAAACAGGCTATTATGGATCAAGGAAGGTCAAAGCGATCTGTTATTCTACAGGAACAGACTAGAGTAAGTAATAACAGACATCTCAAAATGTTTTTAGCATAAACAAACAAATGAAGACAGACGAAGAACACATCAGAAGGAGTTATCAGATCAGCTGAACTCTAATGCGAAGGCCAGACTAGCTCATTTGCCTGGAACTAAAGACGAACGGAAGGTCAAGAAATCGAATATCTCTTACAAAACGCTCGAACGCTTCCCCAATGAGCCCGAAGTTAATGACAACATGATATACGTGGACAAGAGACATGATACCGTCATTCTCCCCATCTTCGGAATGCCAGTTCCATTCCACATTTCAATGTTAAAGAACACGAGCATGGCAAATGAAGGCGATTACACATACCTCAGACTTAATTTTACTCATCCTGGATCTCAAATCGGCAAGGACAATTTCATGTTCCCCAATCCACTCGCAGATTATGTGAAAGAATTGTAATGGATTTAGCTTGTGTATTTAGTTTGTCGTTTAGGACTTTCCGAAGTAGCAATTCCAAGGAACCCGGAGAAATGCATGCTCCGAGTTTGAATCTTCAGACTGCCTATAGACTGATCAAAGAAATGCAAAAGAAGTTCAGAACATCAGAAGCGGAAGAAAGAGAAAAGGAAGGAGCTGTTAAGCAAGATAAACTGGTCCTCAATAATATGAAGGGTAACCCGAAGTTGAAGGATCTTTATGTTCGCCCAAACATTGTCAAGAGAATGAGCGGGGTCTTAGAAGCCCATCAGAATGGTTTCCGATATACAACTCCGAGAGGGGATAAAATTGACGTGCTCTACAATAACATAAAGCATGCCTTCTTCCAACCTTGTGACAATGAGATGATTATCTTACTTCATTTTAATCTGAGGGTACGTAATGTTTTAATTTTCGCATGTTTTTAGAATCCCGTATTGTGGGGGAAGAAGAAGTATTCGGATATTCAATTCTACACGGAAGTTGGAGAGATTACAACCGATTTGGGTAAATACCACCATATGCAAGACAGAGACGATGTGGCCAGTGAACAGGTATTTTAATCTCGGCCCATTCTGACTCCAGGTTTAGATGGAAAGAGAGATGAGGAAGAAACTCAACTCCACATTCCAAAATTTCTGCGACAAGGTTGCAAAGGCGACTAACGAGCAAGTTGACTTCGACACACCATTCAATGATTTGTCCTTCAATGGTGTCCCCTTCAAATCTTCTGTCTATTTGAAGCCGACTTCATCTTGCTTGGTGAATCTGACTGAATGGGTGAGTCCCTGTGCTAATCTTGATATCTTTTCAGCCTCCATTTGTGGTTACTTTGGATGAAGTTGAATTAGTTCATTTTGAACGTGTCAGTGGAAATACCAGAACCTGCGATATGATTATTGTGTTCAAAGATTATACTAAAAAGACCCAGGGTATCTTTAATATTCCTGATCATGCGCTGGACGGAATCAAGGACTGGTTGAAGTAGGTTTTATATTTCAAAAGCATATTTTTTAGCTCTTGTGATATCCGTTACTCTGAAGGTCCAATGTCTTTGAATTGGAATAATATCATGAAACGAATTATTGATGACCCCGAAGGATTCTTCGAAGAAGGCGGGTGGGACTTCCTTCTTGCTGATTCTGAAGTAAGTTACTTATAACAAAATTATTATGTGTTTAGGATGAGGGGGAAGATGATGATTCCGAGGAAAGTGAATTCAATGTCTCGGATGATTCCGATGCGAGCGGCGAAGAGGAAAGCGAGTCCGACTCAGAATCTGTCCAAACCACGTCTGATTCGGAATCAGAAGCAGAATTGGATTCTGATGAAAGCGAGGGAAAGGATTGGAGTGATTTGGAAGAAGAAGCCGCTAAAGCCGATAAAATGAAAGAACGTGGAGAAGAGGAGGCGCCCTCTCATGGTCACAAGAGAAAGCACGGTGGGGGTGGAGGTGGCTCGAGTTCTAAGAAACGTCGTTAGCCCTTTAAATCATGTTTAACCATTCTAACATTTTTTGTTTTAATTGTGGAAATAAATGCGAGAATCGATAGTTGCACTTCGCCTCGAATTATTTTACGTTGACGTAAACATTTCTTTTTCCGATCTTCTATTTGTTGTAGCATACTTTATTTTTTTGTTTTGATAAATGTTATTTGGCCGTGTTTACATTTGTACCAATCTTTAAATCTTGACTTTAGACGGGATGAGCGAGAAAGTGAGGGAAATCGAATTTATTTTGCGGTTTTCCCTTCAATCTTTAGCCGACCAGAGAATTAAATGTCCAGAAACGTGGAGTGTTTTGCAACTCAAGAACCATATCCATAACCTTTGCCCATCGAAACCAGCAGTCGGACTTCAGCGTCTTATTTATGCTGGCCACTGTTTGAAGGATAATCAAGTTCTCAAAGACATTTTTAAGAGAAGCTTGGGTGATGAATCCGAGAATGCCGGCGTTCAAGTAATTCATCTGGTATGTGCGTCCAAAACGGACCAATTTAAGTTGCCAGAAACCGTAAAACCTCGATCGTCGACTTTAATGTAAGGATTTTGGTGCCAACCGTGAAATAATTGATTTTTTATTGCAGAGAGAGCAGGGGGATGGCTCCGACCTCAAATTTTTTAACGGCTCCTGAAGGAATTTCGCAAGATCTGAACCAAGTTTATGCCCAAGCATATCACGATTAGTAAGTGCTGCTGAGAAGTTAATATTTTTTTCTAGTTTGAGACAATACTACGGACAAGCTCATCTAAACTTGAATAATCGGTTTAACCGAGTTTCTGTCGTCGCGCGCGTACAACAACAACGACCAGAAGTAGCTAATGTACCAGAACAAGCCCTTAATGGAAGAGAAAATGAACATCCTGATCTATTGGATCTACTGTACAAGATAATCAGAGTAATGATATTGCTGGCACTGGTTATGTATTCACCAACTGAACGACTTCTTTTTGTGGTTTTGCTGATCTGTCTGATGCTCTATGTTCAACAACGCAGGGAAAGAAATAATCGCGTTGAAAGAGAAATTCCAGCTGTAGGTTTTCAAGGACAGTCGGGGAAACTCAAGTTGGGGTGAAGGACAACGACAATAGCCCGCGATTTTGATGCGGCGTTTTTGCGTAACTAAAAAAAGTATTGTCCGGAAGAATATCTCATGTTTAAAAGGGGATTAAAGAGACGTATTCGTCAAAATTGAAAACTTTACGCGTGGATTCAAAGAAAACACTGCATATCGGCAACGCGGCAACCGAATATATTGTTTATTTTTTAAAAGAAGAAAAAACAACAAAAAGTGTGCTTGGGTCATTTTTTCAAATCATTACATGACCTGTTTAGGCTCGACCGGCGCCAAATGAAAACGCTCCGGCCAACAACGAGAATGGTCTTGATAACACCCTAGCAAATGCTGAGATGGAGATGCCACCCCAAAGCGCTTGGTCAGTCTTCTGGTCCACAGTTGTCTCATTCTTCAGTTCTTTAATCCCCGAGAATCAGATTCCCTTAAATGTAAACTAAAGACTTTTATACCGGTATGTATGTATTATATCACAACTTCATCATCGCTTTGAAGCAGACTATTTGTTTAGTAAAAGCACAGTACTAATTTTGGCTTCTTTTTTGAATTTGAATGCTGAAACGATTAAAGTTTGGATGTTTGTCCTCTATTGATCTAAACTTATCCTTGTTTGCATGCCTGATGACAAACGATGGCTGATTTAACTCTCACTTTTATGACCCTGTTTATGACTTCGTCGGTGAGTGACAGTTGCATAAGGATTATGAGATTGACATCAGTTCACGAAGAGGCGGGCTCACGATAGAACGACGTGAGGTTGTGATAGCGGGAATCATCAACAAGAGGCGAATTTCACTTGGAATGGTGATGGAGTCAGCGGAGCCAGCCGGACTGGTCAAGGATATGGATCGAGGGAGCAAGCTGGCAGAGCGAACGGCGGACTGAGTGACCAGGGGGCTTGTTCAACCGGTTCCAGAGGATTTCTAGTGTGATGCGCGCCATTTGAAGAGGAGCCGATTAGCTCGTCGTCGGAGAGGGAAGGAGCGCCAACGGCGCTGATCACTTTTCTTGTTCCAGCACACAAAAGTTTCACTTTTGTGAGGCTAGTTTTGCTTCGGCGCGGCTTTCCCTTGCCGAGATCTCAGATTTTCGCGCTTTCATTCTTCGATCGTTGCGTCTTCTGAATGGCGTAATCTTTGTTTTTGATTCCGTGTGTTTTCGATCGACCTTCACCCGGTTTTCGGAGAGGGTGAGGGACGACCGGCCTGGTCAGTCCGATCGTGGCACCGTCCTCAACTTCTTTGTGGTCGGACGAAGTGCGAAGAAAGGGAATTGCGCGAGGCAGCCGGGTTAAGGTCAAAAAGAGAAAAAGAAGGCGAAATCGGGGTGCGAGGCCAGATCGAAACGTGGATGCGGGTCCGGAGAGGCGCCAGGTACCCGATGGTGTTTTTTGCTCGAGTTGCGGCGATTTGAGGGGGGAGTGGTGGGAAAGCTGGACAGTGCGCCGATTTCCATTTTAACAAGGCCGACTGGTTGACATCCTAATGTCGCCGCGACTGACCAATGGAGGGCGTGAACCGCTTTCACGCATCTCCCTTTCACTGCGGCGTCCTTCTCCTCCTGTCCCACTCGTTTTCGCCGACTGGCACTAACCTTGCACGCGGATGTCTGACCCTGACCTTGTTTTTCGCCGGTCTCGCGTCGCACCGTGCTCGACGTCCTTTCCCGTCGGCAACGCGCCCAGCCCCACCTACAGCCAATTCTTTGTTTGCGGGCCCATTTTGCGTTGCGTGGTCATCGCGGCTTTATTCCTGGATTCGTATTTACATTGATTGTTAAAGTGTGTGGCCGAATTCCTGTTTCCACCAATGGGAGCCGATCAGACCTTCGGGGTTTTCAAAGAGCCAGCCGTGGCTTCCCCGGCACTGGGCACGTCGGCGGCCTCAGGGATCTTCACCAACACTCAAAATGGAGGCCGCTCTTTCTTCCACAACCGTGATTGGTCGTCCCTCCCTGATTCAAGTATGTTCCTCACGACTATTACGTAATGATGACATTTGAATATTTTGTTTTAATTGAATCACTGGTCTTTGAAGTAGTGTCAAGACTTTTAGTGTGCTTTCATTCCCATTAACTTTCGATTTTAGATCTAGAAACAATACAAAATACCGTTCCCTGTGCTGAGACGACATCTGGCTCTACACAGAACCCGGAAAGCAGTGATTGGCTGGACATGCCCGATCAGTTGTTGTCCAATCTAAGTGTATTTCATGTGCCAGATAAACCACCGCAGCTGCAGAGCTCATCTACCTTTAGAGAATTCACCTCGCTGCCACTAAATTTAACCATGCGAACCACTGGAATAGACAAAGTAAGCAAATTTGAATCCAATAAAGTTGCGCTGTATGACGTAACGTCGTTGTTTTTTCTCTTATTCTTGTAATTTCTCAGGTTAAGGGAGTATGGAGTACTGACTTTATCCCACGTGGAGCAAGATTCGGCCCTCTTCAAGGCGAGATTTGTGTTCTGAATCCATCTGAGAGTACCGTAATGCCCGCAGAAGCCTCGACTCCACAGAATCCGCCTTCCTTTAATCACTCTGGACTAAATGGACAATGTATTGAAAGCATCTTGTCTCCCCCCACTAAATGGAAAATATTCTCGGCCAGTGGGGCTCAGGTAGTCAAATTGATTAACACCTCGAACACACAACGGTCCAATTGGATGAAGAATGTAAATCTGGCCCGGTCAAGAGCGGCCCAGAACCTGGTTGCGTGCCAAGTAAGGAAAAGTCCTTTTTTATTATTTATTATTTTATTTTGGTATGTTTTATTATTTTTTTTTCAGGTGGATGATCATATTTATTTTTACTCCGTCAGATCCATTCCCCCAAACACCGAACTCCTTTTTTGGTACGGAAATGATTATTCACAGAGGATTCAGGTCCCTGCCAATTGCGAATTCTTTAAACATTCCGTTAGAACGCCGCTCTCAACGTCCGAGCCAGCTATGCCAGATTCGGCCAATGCTGAGAAGCCAATTCCTTCTTGTAACGCCTCAAAGCCTTTAAAAACGGAAATCCCGGGATTGTCCCCGACCGCCTTCTCAGAGAGTGAACTATTGAGACTACACGATCACGATTCGTATGCGTCGTCGCATTCCTCGACAGCATCGGCGAGTTCGTCTCCGACCAGTTCCCGGAAACAACCGTCGGAGCATAGCGGCGAGTCTGTTGGCCATCCCCCGTCACCTCAGATGGGGATACGGGCCAATGTCATCCAGCCACCGCTTCATCGGCCTGTACCTCTCAAGCAAAACCTCCCCATGTCTTCCTCAACTTCTTCATTCGAAGGTCCGGGAACCTCCTTATTCAGATCAGGCCCTCAATTCTCACATTTAAGTAACTTATTGCAAGATTATTGGACCCGGATGGCTGGCTTTGCTCCAGTCACCAATCCATCCAACCCATCTCAACCTCAAGGAGGGCTCTGGATTCCTCAGCCAGCCCCCCAGTTGGGATCATTGCCTGAACCCCTTCGATTGCCTCCGGCCATTGGAGGACGGGCAGCGGCCGAACAGCATCTGATCCCATCTTTTGGCTCCACTGCTTTGCAAATGCCGGCGACCGGAGGTGTTCCCGACTACACTTCATTGTATGCTATGGCTGCGGCGGTGGCAAATAATCCCCAAAGTCATAATGATCTGGCAACTCATCTACTGGCTAGCCAACCGGCTTCTTCTGATTTCTGCCTTCCGTCGTATCACAGTTTTAACACCAGCATTGAGCCATCTAACTCTGTGATGTTTGATATAAAGCCTATGGAGTCCGCTACTCAGCCATGTGAAACACCTAAGGTAATATACGAAATTCAGCGGAAACTTTTGCAACCTTTCATTTCGAGCAGATCGAATATTTACAAAATTGCCTAACTAGCTAGCGGATGACTTGGAATGGCTACCAAATTAAACCAAAAAAAGTTGGATTTGATTAACCAAGGTGTTGGAACGGCTGTGAAACCTCAAAGATGACTTGCCAAAAGTAAGGGCTGTAAAATTTCATAAAGGGCTTGCTAAAAAGTTAAAAGTTGGCTAACCATTTATGGGATATGACTGCTGTTTCAAAATTTTGACAGCCGTTTCAACCTAGCCACTTTTCGAGGTTCGACAGCCATCCCAACATTTTGGCTTCAATCTTGTTTTACTACCCATTTGTGAAATTTGGCTGCCATGCCAACTCATCGGCTGGATAATCGGGCAATTTTACAAAGAATATTCGATGCACCAAATGAAGAGTAGCCGAAGGTTTAAAACAATGAATGGGTCTCTTTCAGTTTTCTCAATCTCAAATCAACGGTCGGACAAGATACGAATGCTCCGAATGTTCCAAGGCGTTCGGCCAGTTATCAAATCTCAAAGTTCATCTCCGAACTCACACTGGTGAGAAGCCGTACAAGTGTAAAAAATGTAATAAAGGATTCGCTCAGTTAGCTCATCTACAGAAGCATGATCTTGTCCATACAGGTAAGAAGTCGACTCTTGGCGCACTTTATTGACTGAATGATGATGATATTTTTTACTCAAAAAAATTTAGGCGAGAAGCCACATCAATGTGATGACTGTGGGAAACGCTTCAGTTCAACGTCCAATCTTAAAACACACCGAAGACTTCATTCGGGCCAGCGACCGTTCTCCTGCGAGCTCTGCAAGATCTCATTCACCCAGCTAGTCCACCTGAAGCTCCATAAAAGGACCCATACGAATGAACGGCCATTTATTTGTTCGAGCTGTTCCCGAACATATATTAGTCCCAGCGGCCTCAGAACTCATTGGAAAAATACTTCTTGTAGGCCTGCCGCGGGAGAATTGGGTGATTTGGAAGCTTATGCGGCGTCTGTGGAACAACAAATCGGGGAGCAAACTTGCTGATCTGAATGATAACACAAGCCAATGGCTTTGCCCGAGTTTTAAGCATTTATAGGTCTATTCTATTATTGCCTGCCTAAATTTTATTTCGTAGTTAACGGTCTATCCATACACGGTCCCCAAACGGCTTTAGAAAAGATCTTGGTATCTAGTGTCTAGTGATGTAAAGTAATTTATTATATTTATTTATTTCTTGATTCCATGTAGAGATAGATGTATTACTTAAATAAATCAATTTACGGTGAGAGTATTTCCTGAGGTCGTGTTGTTCGTACTTGAGGTTGCTTCGAGAGGCGGCGTTTGCATCATTGTGCTGCACCTTCGGATTCTGGCAATTCGGGGTTCGACCAAGCTTTGAGTGCAATTTCCTGATCTATTCTCTGTTCGATCCACACTCGAATCACCGGGAAGCCGATGTCTGATCGCCCTGACTCGTTGTCGGCTATAAAGTAATTAATTGTTAGACCAACGCTTCCAAGTTTTTAAAAGACGATTTCTGAGTCTGTGAAGCAAGCCGTAACATAGGATTTTTTCGTTGTTGGGTTCAGTCCCGTCGAAAAGAAGGAGCCCCCATGAAAGTACTTTCCTTGTGAGTTTTCAGTGCAATTTTGTTGTTTTTGCCTTACGTCGCGCGCGATTCCCATTTTTCTCACAATCAGCGACAAATCGACTTTTCGGAGTGCGACGGGATTTGGGGCTCGCGAAAAATTGCGAGGACTTTTTGTCGCGACTAGTATTGAACTCATCATACCCAAAAACCATAGTAGCCTTATTTGTATGAGAAACGGACGCCATTGTAGAAAGTTATGACCAATTACAGTATAAACAGAAAATTGAATAGAAAGTACAGTTAACAGAGGAATTGAGGAAAACTGTGATTCGCTTTTTCTCCACAGGTGCCGTAGGTCATAATAATGCAAAAAACTCAATATCGAAAAAATCCTATGTCCTGGTCTAATTACGGCTTGCTCCAGTGACTCAGAAATCGTCTTTTAATTGTAAAACGATGACTAAACTGCACCTTATTGATGGATTTCTGATTGTGTTTGAAGATCCCGCGCACGGGAAAGAGCAACATAATAGCAGTTCCAATTCCTGCCGTATGTTGAAGGAGAAATATCCATAAAGATAAGGAGAGATGGCGGAGTTGAACACAGCAAAGGCGTACAGCAATTTGGAGACAAGGGGAGAGATCGGCCGATGATTGGCAGATGCCCGCAAGAAGTGGATGAACATGGCTATTGTGTAGGGCGTCCAGCAAAGCAGGAAAGCAAAGACAACGGCAATTGTCATCTGCAGAGTCCTGTTTTTCGCTTTCTCAAAATTATCTTGCCCTCCGGCTCTTCGCAATAACGCCTGATTTGTGGAGCCCTGCTTATTCTGTTTTTTCAATAGTTTAGACCCTGAAATTTTCAGATTACTAGAAAAATTGTAGGACGAAAGATTACCGCTTTTCATGGATATTGATATTAGAATACTGCCGTAACAAACAATGATGACCAGTAACGGTAGAAAATACACTTCGATGATATTGAGCACGGAGAACCAAAATGTAATCTTAGGTGATATTAGGCCAATCACATCAGTAGAGACACATTGGGTATACCAATCAAAACAAGGATGATTCGCCGTTCGAAAGATCCAAATCTGGAAAATAAAAAAGGTTGACCCCGTAACTGCCATTTTACCTGCGGCAAACTGCTTAGAAATGCGACCAGCCAAGCCAGGCCAATCATCCGAAGGACTGATCTTTTGGCGTTGATGGCGTATAAAGGGAACAGAATCGAATAAAATCGGTCCAAACTCAGACACATCAGCATATTGGCAGATAGAGAAACCCCGAAAACGTCGAAGAATTTGCACAAACGGCACAGCTGTAAACAAATATAATGAGTTTTCGGAGTTCCTCATAAAAAGATGAGAAGCCCCTTACCAAATCCCCACCCCACCAGATAACTGTGATATTGTGAATTACTTCCTTCGGCATGTAAATCAAAGTCACCAGCAGATGAGCGATCGTCATGTGCAGCAACAGAGTATGAACTCTCCTCCTCTTGGCCATTTGATTCCTAAACATGATCAGAGATGTACTCTGACCTACCTGAACAATATGACAAACATGAACATATTCCCGATCAAGGCCAACAGAAATACGATGAGGTAACAGACAACAACGGCGAGAGTCTGACTGGTAAACTCGAGCCCTGGAACTCGGGCTTTGGTGCAGTTCATGACTAGAGCAGTATCATTTCTGCAAGACTCAGGTCTATGAATTATCGACGGCGGTACAGAAAAACAAACATGAATTTTATTTTTTCATCCGCGGTCCCCACTTAATTCAGAAGGAATCCGATAGTAGTCACGGAAAGGTCGGCGCTGACTTGGTCCGGGGCCACGCGTTTCCAAATTGCCTCAATTCAGAGGGATAAACTTAGGCCCGGACCGGCCATTACGCCGGGCCTTACGGATTTTGTAACCCAACAATATATAAACCATGCGGCGCGAAAAAGAAAACGCTGATAATGTCGTGAAATTGAAAGCGCAAATCTAATTTCTCTAGCCCTAGTAGAAATCAAATAATCAGATGGGACTCTGTGCGTTTGTCGTCCCAAAGAGTTATTTTTTCTCCGTCCTTATACCCTCCTATCGAAGGCTCTCGATGCACGGAATCCATTCTCGCCGTTCCGTGCCCTCTGAGTGTGCAAAACCAATTCTCGTTATCGTTTCAAGAACGGGATGAGAAGCCGACTAAGGATTCTCTCCGTCCTCTCAAATTGTCATCAATGAATTCTTTGCGGGACCGAAGAAAATTCAACCTGGGTAAATTTACCCTTCGCTCGCTAGGACTTGTTACTAACAAAATAACAATGCCGTTTTATTTTTAAGAAGAAGTTATGCTAAAAATGAACACACGATTGCTCAGGATTTCTTTAAAATTTGCATACAGGTCGGGCGCATATCGATTCCTGAAAATTTTAGCATGGGATTTGCAGGGCAGCCGAGAGATTCAACGATCTTTGCGGGCGATAGAGTACGCGAAACGCGGAGAGCGGTCATAATGAGAAACACTTTTTGGCCATATCTTTGCCAGTTTCGTACTGAAAAAAAATATTGTTTTGTAGAAACATTATCCTCTACGGTAGATTTCATGCCAAAATTCGCGTGTCAATTTTTTTTCAACTTTGGATTTAGAAATCTCGGTCATTTCCGCAAAGCGCGAGCTAAGTGTGTCGCGCATTTTTTTTAATAATTAATTTAAATTTGTGCCGATTTTCATCAAAATCTGAGCGTCGTGCTTGGAGTACTGTACTCGCAAACAAAATTTTGTGGAACATGCCTCGAACCACAAACTCAGTTGAAATTCCTTTAAAAAATGGAAGAGCCATAAATAATAAAGTTATTATTAACTATGAATTATTTATTTCCTGAAATGCCCTTTGTTTAACCCCCATGTCATTTACAGAAACGTATTTTCATTTCAAAAGACGGGAAGATAGATGGTCAATCAGATCCCAAGAAAGAGATTACCTTCACTTTAAAAAGACCGTCTGGCACAATTTCTACATTCTTCTGAAATTACGACCATAGATATGATCAAATGTCGTTGCTCGTTTTGCTCTGTTCTTCTTAATTCCAAATATTTGGCCAATACAAAAGCAATTCTTCGCCTGGACTGATGTCACTATACATGGGAATTTAAAGATATTCTCGTAATTTAATTGACGTCTTCTCCAGTGATTAACTTACCAGAGTATCTACCGGCTTGCGTAATTCTACGAGTTTGGTTTCACCACGAAAACAAGTGGAACGCCCAATAATATTTCTCTGTCTTTTATTTATTTATTTTTCTGACTTTCTGAATACTTCTTCAAAATCTATCGAAAGTGCCAGGATGGTTGAACAAAACGAAAACGACGTCAAGGATGCCGTACGGAAGCAAGTGGAATACTACTTCGGGGACATTAACCTACCAAGAGACAAGTTTTTACAAGAGGAGATGAAGAAAGACGAAGGATGTAAGTCTGTATATTTTTTCATAATCTTTTTTTAGGGATCCCTCTAGAAACGATGCTGAAATTCAACCGTCTGGCTAAGATCACAACAGATTTAAAAGTTTTGGCAGATTCTCTCCAAGAATCAGATTTGATTGAGGTGTCTGAAGATAAGAGCAAGATAAGAAGAAGCCAAGAAGTCCCTTTGCCGGAAAATACTTTGGAATATTGGCAGGAGATTAAAAGAAGAACCGTTTATGTGGTAGGTGTCCTTTTCTGCAAATATCTTCTCACGGCAAGAAAAATGTTTCCCTTCAATAAATTCAGATTTGCGAATCGCTACAAGAGTTTTCAACCTGTCTTTTTCCCAAATTGGAATTAATTCTGATAGTTTCTGTGGGGCCCGGAAACATAAATGCCAACGCTTAGCATTTCGACAAAGCGGCCGGGCCTAAAAATGGCTCAGGCCCGGCTCGGAGGTCACCCCTATTGATGCGAAACGTTTTATTCTAACTTTTATTGACGTGCCTATGATTTTAGAAAGGATTTCCCCAAGACACCACTTTGGATGAAATTCAAACTTTTGTCAACCCTCATGGTGATATCAAGAATGTCTTAATGAGGCGTCTGAAGAAGGAGAAGACATTCAAAGGCTCTGTTTTTGTAACGTTTTCCGACCGTGAGAGTGCCGAGAAATTTTCAAAAGATGAAGCTTCGACTACGTTTAAGGATATTGCTCTTACTAAATTAATGCAGGATGATTATTGGGCAAAGAAGAGTCAAGAAACAAAACAGAAGCGGCAAGCCGAGAAAGACTTGAAGAAAAGGAAGCAAGCTGAGCAAAAGGCGGAAGAAGAAAAGAATGCCCTTGCTTCTTGTTTCGTTAAAGGAGCAGTTCTTGAGGTATCAGGATTAGGATCCGAAGCCTTCAAGTATGACGATCTTAAGGTTTTCTTCAAAAAGTTTGGACCAGTGGCATTCGTTGCTTATGAGGCCGGAAACGATAAGGTACGTTTCTTTACGGTTTATGATTAACCGCTGAAATTTATACTTTTAAATTCTTGTTTTAGGCACAAATTCGATTTGATGCTAAGGAAGAGGGTGTCGCAGAAGCTTCTTGGAAGAAAGCAGAGGGAGAAGAAGGGAAGGTTGTCTTCAATGGAAAGGAGTTGACTTCCAGAGTATTGGAAGGCGAAGAGGAAGAAGCTTATTGGACCGAGTTTACCAAGAGCAAGGTCGCAAAGAATGACAGATCTCATAAGAAGTTTGGACGTCGTCCAGACAAGCGTAGTGCTCGAGGTGATGTGAATATTGTTAATAAAAAAGCAAAGCACACCGTCTTTAATGAAGATGACCAAGATGGAGATGCTTCGGAAGAATCTAAGCAGGAATCCTGATCAACATGTGGGGGAATTAATCAATTGTTACGCTATTTCCATAAATTGTTAATGTTTTTGTTGTTGGCTATTTGTTTTATATTTTTTCAATAAAACCAATATTAAACGTAATCCTAACAATGAATCATTTATGGGCCGGTGGAGTCTCGCCTCTTTCCAACGCGACTTCCTCATCAATCTCCTCCAGGAACGTTTCTTGTCGCACAGCATGAATCGTGTAGTAATATATTCCTACAGCCATACCGCCTAACAATGCAAGTCCAATGTGGTTCTGAAAGGATTGTATTTTTTATTGGGGAATTGATTACCTTATAGTTCTTTTCGAAAATATCTTTGACTCTTTCTTCGTTCACCTTTTCGAACTGTACGGCAAATCTTTTTTGTGCTCGGGGGAGGTCATCGATATCAATCGTTTGCATCAAGTCGGATTTGTCGTCATAGACTTCAGAAGCAGGTCTTCCCTTGATCATGATAGGAACATTTGAACCCGGGACCGTAGACGCTGTCCTCCATAAGGTTCTTGATATCTGAGAGAGCCGTGATAGTGAGTAACCGATCATCTTCAAAAGTGGGAAACCCAATATGATTTGTAACGCTTTAAACATAGATATAGCAAGGGAAAAACCTTAAATATTCGATAAGATTTCATATTATTTGAATTATAATTATCTTATACAAAGAAATACAAGAAAATAATCATAAAAATAAATCATTGTGTCTTTCTGAGGGCTGCGATACGTTCAATAATTGGTGGATGGGAGTGATGGACAAGAGAGTAAAGCGGATCATCAATGGGCATAGATAAGTTGTCCTTTCCCAACTTAATAAGCGCTGTGCAAAGAAGATCCGTGTATCCAAGCTTCGCCGAGAATCTGTCAGCAGAGAACTCCATATATCTGCTCAAGAAACTCATGGCGACGTTAACAACTTCATTATATGCGGTTAAGACGTATTGAGTGATAAGAGTAAGCCCGATGAGCACGGCAGGACGTTCGTATCCAAAGGCCAGATAAATATTCTCATTCTGATAAAAGTAGGAGAACACCACCAATATAAAAAAGAGGTTCACTTCAGCAATCGACAAGTTAGAAAGAGTGTGCGACAATTTCCAATGTCCTAACTCATGTCCCAAAACTGCTACTACCTCGTCATCTTTCATGCCAAGTTTCTTCTCCTTCTCCTTAAAATTAAACGATAAGCATAAAAACGATAAAAAATACGGTTGTTAATTTGACAGAATTTTTCAAAATGACGTCATTCAAAAAAAAGACACCTTATTTTTATCCAATGGTTCCTGTTCGTCTTTTTTGGCATCTTCTTTCAAATGAATCTCCTTCAGCAAATTATTCATCTCTTCACTCAAAAGCGTATCGTATAAAACAATTCTCTTGTTCTTCCAGAAACCATACATGTATGCATTGCTATGGGACGAACGTTTGGAGCCTAAATTAAAAAGATCAAAAAACGACACCATCAACTCACCTTCAACCACATATAACTTGGTCAACGGAAATTCGACGGATGCCGCCAATTTCTCAATCTTTGTCTTGAGTTCACTGTCAGGCAATGGAGTAAACTTATCGAATAAGGGCGCAATAAATTCAGGATATATCGTCATCATTACCTAAACTCTCAAACCAAATAGACTCTTAACTTACGAATATAACAAGTGAGACAAAGATCCAAACATAAACGAAGAAATAATCTCCTCCAACATTAACAATCCAAATGAGGGCAGCTATCAATGGAGACGCAATCAAGGTCGCAACCACAAACTTCTTTACTTTATCGGTTAAATAAAACTTCACGGTCTGAAACGTATGTCTAAAGCCATACAGTGTCATACTTACCTGCTTGTTGAATCCAAACTTTTCTTCGATAACGAAGTTTTCGTACAATCCAAATGGCAAAGAAGTAATGTTTTCGAACAAAGAGGAAAGAATAACGAAAAATATGGATTGAATTATCTGAAAAGCGCAGTTAGTGAAAACCATAACAATGTATAACTATTAATAAAATAATGCAGGCTGATTTGAAAGACATCTTACCTCACTATCCCCATAAATAGATTCGGCTATTGATCCGGCTTTCTTCCAAAGGCATGGCATAACGTTGAAAAATAAAATGATCTAAAATCATTGATAAGCTAAAACAATGAAAAAAACACTTACTGTGGTCAATATCTGCCCGACAATACTCGACACAAACCCGAATCTTAGCTTGGCCAATTTGTAACGACGAGCTTTGTCATAGTCCGACTCGTTGATAATTTCGGAGACATGCTCCGGCCGTTTCTCAGTGTCCCGGAAAAGACAATACTACATAAGATTTTATTGTTTATTATATTATACTTACTTGGCGGTATGACAGATACAATTCCCAGAAGAAAACAGTTAAATTGAAACCGTATATAGAATAAAATATTGTGAGAGGGTGCATTCTGCCCAACCAATCCACCTTTTGTGATTATATTCCCGAAAATTGGTTTCTTATGGGAAATTTATAATGTGAAATTTTATACGATGAAAGGTGTTTGTATTGTTATCTTTTGTTTTGATTTCCGCGGCCGCGTAATTCCGCTGACAATGTGAATTCAGAAAGAGAATTTGAATGTAAACAGAAAAATCAAGTTTTAGATTGCACATCCTTTTTATAATTTTCATTGAAACTCTCAGGACCATCGATCAAGGGGCACTTTAAATGTTTTTGATTACACGAATCTTGTTAGCCATTAGTCTAATTCATTAAAAGGTACTGATCAAAGAATTAGAAGCAAGACATCAGTGGTTCAATGTTTCCCCTTCCACCACAAACATTTTTGTTATGAAAACATGAAAAGTTCCGAATAAAGCAAAAAATATTTATCTTACGCAAGTCAAGTTCAGCATTGTAAAGTAAATATTCGACCTTTTCCTAATTAAAACTACTGAAGGTGGTTGTAAATTTGTCTTCAAAGTTTTCTTTTCTAAAATTGAGCTTTCTGTACATGTTTTTTGAATGGATAAATTGTGTTTGGTGAAGAACAAGATAGTTGAATATGTGAAAGTAAGCTCAGAGTTGAGAGTGGTAGTGATACAATTGTTTAGACTTTGTACTCTTCTTCAGCCATCGTTTTGTCGGCAATATCACTGTTATATTTGACTTTGGGATCCTTTATTTTCTTATTTCTCGATGACAGATTGAATGGTTTGCAGTTCCATCGCACCTTTTTCTTTTGTTTCACAACTTTAACAACCATCGGATACGGTGATATTGTACCGAGTAATGGGCCAAGTCAGATCTACTGTACGATCTTCATCCTTTTTGGAACTCCGTTGTTATTTTCCTGCTTTAGTCGTTGGAGTTTATTAATCATCAAGGCCTATAACAACATTGTTCGGGTAGAAGTAAGCTAGTTTTACAAAATTTTACAGTCCTTGCAGACTAATGACGACCAATTACCATTCTTCGTGGTTATTTCGTCTCTCTTAATCTACTCTTTACTTTCTGGGATTATATTTGCAAATTGGTTACCATCTTCATCGATTGTTACAGTATTCTACCTCGGCTTCATGAGTGTTACAACTGTTGGATTTGGTAGGGTTTCCTTCGAAAAACATAAATAGAAATATTTAAATATGTTTAGGTGACTTCTCATTGCACGCAGATTCTATGATTGGAGCGTTAACTCTGGTGTGCATCCAAAGCATTGGCATCTGCTTAATGTCCACATTAATATCAAATATTTGTTTAAATCTGAAGAGAATAAATTATATTGGACGGGAAATGTGGTCAACAAATTTGGAAGAGCCATCGTTTTGGATTAATGGAGCCCAGTTTACGGTAACAGAGCTCTTGACTGGTGTCTCGAGACACTTTGATGTACGTATTATATAAAAATATTGCTAATAATAGATGCAAATAGGTTCCTAGCCTTGCTGCGTCTTCTCCATTCTTGTGATAAATGAATTTTTCACGTTTTATTGTCCAAAACGTTTCAGGAATCTCCTCATAAATTGAAGAATTTGTTGTTTGAATTGGAATCCATCATCGATCTCGACCATCCCGATCCGCAAAATAACTTGGAAAAAGACGGAAAAGTAAATTAAAACAAGCATAAAAATTCAATTTAGGAGGAGATCACATACGCATCCGTGTTTTCAAGCCTTCAAGAGCATCAGAACGTAAGTAATTATACAAAACAAAGACTCAATTCCTCCAGCTTGTTCATGCGTTGGCTACAGTAACCAATTTAACTCGATCTGGTCAGAAATCGTTCAGAAAAGGCGAACGGTCCGTTAGACACGCTCTGCAATCGAATGCACAGTTAGATGTATAATATACACTTATTATTATCAAATAAATTGTACTTGTGAATACATTGAAAGCTATACGAACATGTTTAGCGGAAAGCAGCTCAGACTTTGCGCTAAAAAAATTTATTCCAGACTTTTAACGGGCGTGGCTGACAATGGGGATGTTCCGTACATTCGGATTGTTGCCATACAAGTCATTGTAGGCTTCGGGTTCGGCCAAAGGCGCCTGAGGCAGTAGTGTATATCCTTGAGGAGTGTGTGCATATCGATTATCATGCGGGTCGCTGTGAGCCAGAAGTTCTTCGCGTTGTTTCATTCCTTCCACATCCAGTGGGGAGCGGAAAGATTGTCTTAATTTCTGGCATCGTGTGAGGTCGGAATGATCACTGCAGTTATAGCAAATTGTGAAAAGAATGAAGATTGGAATGGGTAGTAGCGGTATCAGGGCGATCGCAAATCCAACGTATTCACTCCATTCCCAGTTGCGGATCTGTTCAGGGAAATCGTTGTAGTCGTAACCCAGGATGTTTAAAACAGCAATGACCTGAAATCAGGATGATATAAAGCATTTTCCTAAACCGTTCTTGACTTACAATAGGAACTGCGGGAAGAAGATACGTGAAGAAAAGAATGAAGTACCCGAGACACCAGCAACAGGCACTCCGCACCATTGTTTTCATGTCTCTCCCAAGGGAATGGGCACAATAGAACCAAGCGACGGCCAGTAGTTCAGCCGCGAGTATAATCCAGATGGTGACGTACTTGAGGTATCCAGTTGTCAAAACATAGGCATGTTTTCCTGCCTGAGTTGCAAAGAAAACCCCGACTCCAGCCCCAAGGAGAGAGATAAATAAAGCCAGCACGAATCGGGGGAAACATCTAGACCATTTTTCGCCTAAGGCGTCCTCAAATGTTGCGAGGATGTTGAGGGCCAGCAAGTACTGCAAAAGGATCCAATTATTTGAATTATGAAAGAAAAATACTTACGCAAATATTCAGCAGAACGAATATACTTAAGAAAAGTAATATTCCGGTAAAGAGTTTAGTACTCGGAACAAAAGAGAGGTACACCAGGAGATGCCACATTTGTTCTTGTCCTTAAAAGATGCTTTCAGTTATTTAAAATAATTTTGATAAAAAACGATGATTGGCTCGCTGCGGCCAGCGGACATTCAAAATATATATTTTTTGGATCTTCTGGCCTAATATGTCGGCATAGGTCATAGAAGAATATTGCAAACTATGACTGTAATACGCAAAATACACATTTTTTACAAAGATACAGGGGTGTTGACGATATTTGCAAGGATTTCAGAAATCCGTTCATAATGGCATCTGCCCATAATGGACTAACCTAGGTTTTTGGCTAGCCAAACGGAAAAAATTGTTGTTTGGCTGTCATAATCGCAGGGGATAAAAAGGTCCGCTGAGCAAGAAAGTCCGCCAAAAAGGCCTAAGGTCGTGTAGCGTTTTTTTCAAAAATTATATTCATTTTCTTTGATTGTAGTAGCTTTTTTTCTTATTAGGCATTGCAAAGTAGTAATTTTTTAAACTTTTTTTAGGGACTTTCGATAGTGCTGATCCCGGAAATCATATAAGGCGCGTGCGTTCTACTTCTCTTCGGACATCCTCGCAGAAAACCCGCATTTCTTGTCTGTGGGCCCGCTAGACAAGAAACGCGCAATTCTCGTCTAAAATTGCGTAACATTGCGCAATATTGCGCAATTTTCTGCTCTCTCCCCGTGAAGATTTTTTTCTTTTTTTCTCTGCTCAGCCAAGAATTGCGCATTTCTTGTCTAGCGGGCCCACAGACAAGAAATGCGGGTTTTCTGCGAGGAAGTCCGAAGAAAAGTAGAACGCACGCGCCTTATATTCATTTTTCCTGACTTGAAATTAGCACCATCGGAAACCCCAAATCGAATATTTGTGACAAAAATTCGAGAAAGTAATGATTTACAGTACACATTACTTGAGAAAAACAGTTACAATCAAAAAAAATGACTTTTGAAATCAACGCTATCGATTATCTGGGTTCGAAACTTGCTTGCAAGAAAAATAATATTTTTCAGTTTCCTCAATGGTCGTTTTCCTCACAAGGAAAGTACTTTTATGGGGGCTCCTACTTTTAGACGGGCCATATCTCAAAAATCCGAAAAGTTATGCTGATCAAGTATATGTAAAAATTAGCTGCCCAATTTCGGGTTACTAACTAGGGACGTGTACAAACGAACTCTCCCCAAATGACAAGTGTTATGCATCATTGGAAAGCCCTTGAAAAATGGTGCAAGAGACCATTTTCATTTTTTGCAGAATGCCTCAGGGCAAAAGATATTTACTGGTTTTAAATGGCGGGCTCACACTTCCGGGAAACCATTTTGCGGGCAACCACTTTGCGGGCAGCCGACATTTGCGGCCAGCACCGGCATTTGCGGGCAGCCTGGGACATTTGCGGGAAACCGACACCTGATTATGAGGGTAACAGGGAGAAGGTAAAAAAATTACTATGATATTTTGGAAATTTGCCGACATTTGCGGGCAACCGGCAGTTGAGGATAACAAGGTGGAGGTGGAAAACTTACTGCGATATTTTGGAAGTTTTCCGACATTTCCGGACAGGCAATACTTGCGGGAAGCCAACATTTGTGGGCAACAGTTCCAAAAGTTCCAATACAATCTGTGTGATTGTTTTTTCCTGTTTCCCGCAAATGTCGGTTGCCCGTAAGTGTCGGCTGCCCGCAAATGTCGGCAAATTTCCAAAATATCGCAGTAATATTCCCATCTCCACCCTCTTACCCTCAGGTGCCGGTTGCCCATGTCGGTTGCCCGCAAATGTCCCAGGCTGCCCGCAAATGTTCCAGCTGCCCGCAAATGTGGCCCCTCAAACTTTTCCCGCAAAGTGGTTGCCCGCAAAAAATTTGCCCGCAAACTGGTTGCCCGCAAACTGGTTGCCCGCAAGTGTCGCGACGCCTTTTAAATACCCATAAGGTGAAAAAACACTTTTCACTTTTTTTAATGTTGAAAAACATGTAAGTTTGATAGTTTTAACCATAATCGACCGTCTTCCAGAAAAATTAAAACGTTTGCAAAAGTTTAACGAAAATATTTTCCTAACTGTAAGAAAGAATAAAACGAATTTTGCCCAAGCTGCGAGCCGAACCTGACTAGGTTTACCAGCCTGCTCGGCAACCACTGCACTATTCAAGCAACCCTCTACTAGGCTTTTTTCCTGCCCAAGAGAAAGAAAGATTTTTGTTGCAAAATGACCTAAAAATTATATAATTAAATTACAGTATGTTAAATAATACAATTTACAGCATTTTCATTTTTTGGCATTCTGCAAAAAATGAAAATGGTGTCTTGTACCATTTTTCAAGGGCTCTTCAATGACGTACGTCACTTATCATTTGGTGAGGGTTCGTTTGTACACTTCCCTGGTAAGACTTATTTACATATTACGTCTTGGAAACACAAGAAACATCGTTTTAAGCTAAAATAAAATTTGTAAACCTGCGAAAAAATTAAAAGAGAGTTTTTTACAGATTGAAGCTTCTCATAACAAGGGCCGGACGTTTCGAAAAAACGACCAGCTCAGAATCTTTTGATATTTTGCATAGTTGTTGTACTACGATAGCTGAACGTCAGCGTGAAGTTTTAGTTTTGAAAATTACCGTATACGGGGATTACGGTAGGTACAATTTTCAGAAAGATTGGGTCCGTGCGTAAAAACTCCAAGGAGTAAAAGGGCGAAACTTCGCTGTTTTACGTTTTCGACCATGGGGAATATTTTCATAATTGACACTTTCGCCGTAGGATGTAGCCTTCGACTACTTTGAAAAATACCAAGGTACCATATTGAATATAACTTTTTGGGGCTTCGGTAGTTCAGCCCCCCCCACGAAAGGTAGTTCAAACCCCCACTGTTTTGCCCGTTTCACACCCCCACATAATGAACAAATTAGAATAATACAAAAAATGTAAGTGGGGGTTTGATCTACTACGTTGGGGGTTTGATCTAAAACGTAGGGGGCTTGACCTAAAACGTAGGGGGCTTGAACTAAAACGTAGGGGGCTTCATCTAAAACGTAAGGGGCTTGAACTAAAACGTAGGGGGCTTCATCTAAAACGTAAGGGGCTTGAACTAAAACGTAGGGGGCTTCATCTAAAACGTAAGGGGCTTGAACTAAAACGTAGGGGGCTTCATCTAAAACGTAAGGGGCTTGAACTAAAACGTAGGGGGCTTCATCTAAAACGTAAGGGGCTTGAACTAAAACGTAGGGGGCTTCATCTAAAACGTAGGGGGCTTGTGCTGGACCATACAACTTGGATTAATTCTTTGAAATAAATTCTGGGGTTCAGAATGGACGAGGGGGGTTGTACTGGGTCATGGGGGGCTAAACTGGACTGGGGGGCTGTACTACCTTAGCCCCAACTTTTTTGCAGAGAACTTGTCTCAACTTTTGAAACCTCTCAAAAATACTTTGACATGTATGTAACAACATATCAAAAATGCGCGAAAATAAAAGGGGTGGTTTTGGAGTTACGGTACTTTGATTGTGGCCCGGACGGTATATCAAAAAATAATTTTTTTTCAAAATCGGTGTAGAAATCTCGCCAAAATACGTTTTCGACCATGGAGAACATTTTTGTAATTAACAATTTTTCTGTAGGATGTCGTCTTCGACTACTTGAAAAATGACCAAGGTACCATGGTCAATATAACTTTTCGGCATTCTATTTGTCTCAACTTTTGAAACCTCTCAAAAATACTTTGACATGTATGTAAAAACATATCAAAAATGCACGAAAATAAAAGGGGTGGTTTTGGAGTTATGGTACTTTGAATGTAGCCGGTACCGTATTTTAATTTTTTCAAAATAGGTGTAGAACAGCCGCAAACCTTGCTAATGTACGGTTTCCACCATAAGGAACATTTTTGTAATTGACACTTTTTTTGTAGGATGCAGTCTTCAACCGGTATGAGAAATATCAAGATACCATGGTCAATATAACTTTTCGGCATTCTACTTGTCTCAACTTTTGAAACCTTTCAAAAACACCTTGACGTATGTGTAACAACATATCAAAAATTTAGAAAAATAAAAGGGGTGGTTTTGGAGTTATGGTACTTTGAATGTTGGACATACAGTACACCTCGATTTATTCTCGGCTCAACTTTACGTAGATTGTCTTAAAAACAAAATGCAATGTTTTATGTATGTTGTACGACCCTCAAAAACAATTTTCACTAGGAAATTCAGAAAATTTAGGCCTAAGCATACTGTAACATATCGTGCGCAGATAATTGGCTACTGTAACAGCAAGATCAGCGATTTCTTCAATTTTTTGTAACGATTACCACGGTCTAGAGTTGTGTGTGCCATACGGCAGTGGAATCTTCCAAATTCGGATGTCAGCATCACAACGAAAGTTCGGTGTACTGTATGATCAAGGTTAAAAGTACCATAACTCCAAAACCACCCCTTTTATTTTCCTAAATTTTTGATATGTTGTTACACATACGTCAAGGTGTTTTTGAAAGGTTTCAAAAGTTGAGACAAGTAGAATGCCGAAAAGTTATATTGACCATGGTATCTTGATATTTCTCATACCGGTTGAAGACTGCATCCTACAAAAAAAGTGTCAATTACAAAAATGTTCCTTATGGTGGAAAACGTACATTAGCAAGGTTTGCGGCTGTTCTACACCTATTTTGAAAAAATTAAAATACGGTACCGGCTACATTCAAAGTACCATAACTCCAAAACCACCCCTTTTATTTTCGTGCACTTTTGATATGTTGTTACATACATGTCAAAGTATTTTTGAGAGGTTTCAAAAGTTGAGACAAATAGAATGCCGAAAAGTTATATTGACCATGGTACCTTGGTCATTTTTCAAGTAGTCGAAGACGACATCCTACAGAAAAATTGTTAATTACAAAAATGTTATCCATGGTCGAAAACGTATTTTGGCGAGATTTCTACACCGATTTTGAAAAAAATTATTTTTTGATATACCGTCCGGGCCACAATCAAAGTACCGTAACTCCAAAACCACCCCTTTTTCGCGCATTTTTGATATGTTGTTACATACATGTCAAAGTATTTTTGAGAGGTTTCAAAAGTTGAGATAAGTTCTCTGCAAAAAAGTTATATTCAATATGGTACCTTGGTATTTTTCAAAGTAGTCGAAGGCTACATCCTACGGCGAAAGTGTCAATTATGAAAATATTCCCCATGGTCGAAAACGTAAAACAGCGAAGTTTCGCCCTTTTACTCTTTGGAGTTTTTACGCACGGACCCAATCATTCTGAAAATTGTACCTACCGTAATTCCCGTATACGGTAATTTTCAAAACTAAAACTTTTAATCAGCACGTTTTTTCGGATTTTTTGAGATATGTATGTCCCGTCGAAAAGTAGGAGTCCCCATAAAAGTACTTTCCTTGTCAATTGACGACGTTCCAGTTTGAAAACATTTTGGATAACAAAATATTTTCAAAATGGATTGCTCACGACCTAGATCGAGAGCTTGGCTATTGATGACCTATCCTCCGATGTGAACACGGAGTACCCTAACCCCTTTCGCTAGCTGGTCAAACAATTTTGCAATATTGGAATATTGGGCCGACACGGTCTGCCCAAATGACCGACAACCAAAATTTTTTTTACCATTTCCTAAGATTTCGAGCGGAACCAAGTTTGTTTTGTAGCTCAGGTATCCAACCAAACCAAAGATCGTGGACAATTGTATTGCTGTAAGGAAGAAATGGCCAATGATGATGAAAATAGAATCTCTGGAATTATCTTATAAGTAATCCACTACAATTTTTAACGGTTAGCTGTAAATCAACTAACCTGACCACATTATTCGTCCTCTTGTTATAGGACCCTATTGTAATAAAAACTCCGAAACCCACACCACTGGCAACGATTGCTTGTTCGACAGCCAACTTCCAGACATTGTAATCAGCCAGTCTGTTCCAATCGGTAATGTAATACAACCTTTCAAACATAGGGATGGCCCCGTTCAGGAATAGAATTCTGGCCAAAAGAATCAAGATTAAGCAAAGAGGCGTCATGAACGTGAATACTGTCACTTTGCCAAGCCATCGGACTCCAAAACAGATGGCCGAGAAGACCAAAATCCACACAATTCCTTGAGCAATCAGCAGATATAACTGGATCTGGCCGATCTCAATGATACTATTGCTGGGATTCTCCAAAGCTCCCATAAAGTGAACCAAAGCAGACGACTCCCTGAGGGTAGACAATCGAACAGTCTGTCCAAAATCAGTTGATGCATTTGCAATTACTGTAGGTTCAATGCATGGCGTTGCCTGTAATTCAGGGAAGTTCTGGCAATTGATCCAAGGGAGGCCCGGTCGCTCATCCAAGACCGTCCAAAACAAATGGAACAGGTAAAGTAATAACCAAGCCAGGTATCTTGCAAAACAAACAACCGTGATAAAAGATACGAATATCTGGGAAACGCCGACGCCCTTGAATATAGGGCAGATGTTATAAAGGGCTTGAACTGGACCTCGTCCGGTAAGCTGACCTATTGATAACTCGAGGAGAACGATCGGAAGAACCACCGCCAGAATTGCGGCGGAATAAGCAGCCACGAAGGCAACTAGAATTATAAAAGGTATATTAATTGTAAACATTAAAATTTTCGTATAAGGAAGTACCACCAAACATTAATGATGCATAAAATGTAAAAATATACTTACGTCCTCCGTTATCAAGAATCAATCTAGGCAGATTGAGAAGATTTGTGGTGGCAAACAAGTAGGACAACCCCACTAACATAAACTCGGCCTTGAAGGACCAGAGGTCTCGCCATTCCTCGACTATCGATGACATCTTGATGTTGGAAACTGAACGATCTTCAAACCACATGGTTCAAAGCGACTTCACATGAATAAATTCATGGGTTGCTGCGCCATAGAAATATACTACGCTTAAAAACAAACTCTACTCACATCAGAAAGGAACACGGTTTAATTAAAGGAACACGCAAAAAAGTTCAACAATTAACTCCATTTAAGGACGGAGGATAACTTGGTCTACTGGAAGTGACATCGAATGATTAAAAATGGTTATTCCATCAGTCAGTCTCATCATGGTCGAGCAGCATGACATCCCCGAATAAACAAGGTCTGGGGGAAGGGAATAAAAAGTAAGTCGAGCCGCTTACCCTCCAATCTCCTTTCCCTGCCTCTCTTCTTTGCATTCTTTATGGGAAATGCATTGCATTTGCACTACCGACCTGTCAGGGATATGTTTGCGCAATGGAAATAAAATTGAAAGAGTCCACTACGTGAGCCGCACTTTACCAACAAGTGCCCCGCACCCCTTTCATTTGCGCGCTCTTCCTTTCGGATGGCCTTTTCAAATCTCCAAATTGTCGGATCCGGAAAAAGAAACCCCCAAGTAAAGAGAAGTCAGGTGAAATATGGCGGGGGAACTCGGATTACCCAGTCCACTTGTTTACAAATACTATGGGGGAAGGAGTAAACAGCTATCTTTCCGCCTCAAAAAACTCTAAAAGGATTTTTTTCACCTTAAAACACGGTCTCCCCTTGTGAAAACTCTTCCAAATTGAAGCCAAATGTATGGGAAATCAGCGGATGTCGACAATATGCGAAAAGAGAATCGCAAAATTAATATGTCGTAAAGAATCGTTGGTTGGGGACAATTAGAAAAGAGACAATGCAATCGAATTATGCCGCAGGGCAAGATTTTGTGTGGCCCATTCGTGGTCGACTGCATTCTCACGCCGTCCGCAAACTCGCCTCAGGGTCCCTGGTTGCGCGTTCATTTCGCGTAAACAAAAAATCTCCTCGCTCTTTCCCAAATTTATTTTAAACAAAGGTTCGGTTACCTTGGTAGCGATGGGTAATTGAAGCCCCTGAATCGCTTATGAGTCAGAGAATGACCGGAATAAAGTCTGTTTTGAAAGTAATAACGCATATAGGCATCAGTTGTCAAATCATTAAATTAGTCACGCGGAAAGAGAAACATGGGTGGGGGGAGGTGGTGGACCAAAATAATAACCAACTGAAGTCCTTGTCACAAAAAAGTATCATGGACTCTTAAGGAAGGCACAAAAAAGGTCCGCGGCCCAAAATAGGTTTTTAGCAAATGGAAGAGAGGTTGGCAAAAGCCCAATACAAGTCCTGGTCATAAGAATGAAGGGGGTTCGCGGACTTGCGCCGTCATCTTGAAGGAAGAAAGTGCCGCAATCGGGCAGACCAGCCTCCAAATGAGAGGGAACAACTGGCTGCCACTGGCCCGCATTAGTCTTGGCCATTCTATTAATTCTGACCGGGAGCCACCTTAATCCGGCAATCCACCTTGACCGGCAGGCCATTAATCCACTTGTTTATTTATATCATGATGCAACCAGGTCGCTGAGAGATCTCGAGCTCGGTCTCATAGGGGTCAGGCCGGCAGCGAATGCAGGCCCCGACTCGCGCACTACCCATTTCTGAACTCATTAAGCGGACGACATCTGCACGCGAGAAAATGGAAACAGTCACCGTGGATGCTTGTTTTATTTGTCGCAGTACCTCTTTTTTTATCTTCAATTGGCTATGACCGCAAGACGCGGAGAGGGCAAAGGAAGTTGAAAGAATAAATAAACGACTAAGGGAATTGACTCGAACGAGACCTAACGGGCTAGTGATTGGGTTAGCTGAGGAGAAATGGCGGTCCAGAGAAAGACTTTGCTGACCGAGATGAGTCGCTAAAGTACCACAATAAACAATTTATGAACATAAGTCCCGATCGAGAACGACCCGACAAAAACGAGAAAACTAACAATAACCGCGTGTGAAAAAAGGTATACACATATATAAATGCCTAGTGGAATCTACCTTTAATAAATCGGTACATGCCATTTGAATGAAACAAAAATCAACCGCAGAAGGCAGGGGGCGAACAAAAATTATCACAGTTAGATGAAGAGACAAACAAATGGCCAGACCGAATGACAAGGATAAGGTCAAAAACATTATTAATGCATAAAGCCTGCTCAACCGCCTACAATAAACCCGGTGATAAACACAAAGACTAAATGTATTGTAAATGCAACGAACAACTCGTGAGTGACTAAGAAGCGAGCACTAAGATAGCATCGGTACTTGAAGAGATCGATTCACAGGGCACAGCAGTTTGATTGGATTCAGCCTCTGCAGTGAGGTCGAGCTGTCATCTACAGGTCCTGCCATGGATGGACGCGTATTCAGGGTTCGTTGGACTGAAATTAAAGAGAACTTGACGGCGCTTCAACCCGGCCTACTTGATCAGAAGAGAGAGAACTCCGCTCAGACGAATGCTGCAAGAGACCGGCCGAGTCAGCCAATGATGTTTGTTGCACCATCGTGGCGGGAGGGATCTGGGACGTCTGCTGATGATGAATACTCAACCCAGATGCACCCAGAACATTCCCCGCATTTGTGTGAGTGGCCTCGTGGCCCATTTGTTGAGAACGTTGTCGAAAAGCCCGGCCACAAAATTGGCAGGCAAACGGTTTCTGTCCTAAAAGACATCATGAATTTAAAGGCATGACAAAGTGTACAAGTTAATAGTGCACTCTTATACTATACTTGCCTGTGTGAATTCTCTCGTGCTGATCTAAATGGGACTTCTGATTGAACCTTTTTGGACAGTAATGGCAATGGTAAGGACGTTCTTGAAGGTGGATTCTATTGTGCTGTTGCAGTCCCCCACGGGCTTTGAATCTTTTTCCGCATTGTGGACATTCGTGGGATCTGACAAGTCGGCATTCTTCCATATGCATACGTAACTGGAAGCAGTTTAAATAAAGATAACGAATACTTACTGCATTTTGCTCCGTAAACTTTTTGGGACAAAAATTACATTTGAACATGGAGTCATTGGCAGATGACCGATGTCTTGTTCTCGCACTGGACGAGCTGGACCCTCCATTGGACTGGGCACTTGGATTAGAGTTAGATCCGTCAGTCTGAGGTTGAACATGGCTACTTAATCCGTTAACATTATTCTGCATGTGGCTAAGTAGTGTTCCTCCGTTGTTTGTGGCTGAGCTAGATGCTACTGCTGCTACGACGTGATGCCCGTTGAATGGAAGGGCAGACAGATTCCCACCGTTTGTACCCAGATGGGCAGTATTGGAAAGACTCACGTTCTGTAGATGTCCATTTATGTGGCTCATATTTAGGATGTTGCTGACATCAAGTTGCTCTAAAACAAGTGTTTAATGGCAATAAAAATACTTTAAAAAAAACAAAAATACAACTTCTAAAAGAGGTTTTCGGAACGGATTCATGTATTTAGACCACAGAGCCCAAAGATTTAGAATTAAAGACAGACTACTACAAGTTGAGCAAGCTAACCGTGTATGTTGGAAAATGCTAGGTCGACGCCATGTAGAAGGTTATTGTTGATGTGGTGATCAGTTGGTTGAGATATCAATGGCTGCAGATAAGCAGCATGAATCTTTGGTTGCGAAGCACTGGTCGTTATTAAAAAATGATGGCCGTTGGCGGAACCAGAAGTGGCAGCGGATGCATTGATCCGGCTACTGAAAGGTGGACTACTTAGAATTTGGCAGTTCAATTTACCCATCATCGGCTCCATTTCCAAAGGTTGAAGCCATTGTGTTTTGATGACTGATCTCAAGCATATGATGAGATGAGCCCTCGTCCTCCGGAAATTCTTTCTTTCCGATACGATTGAAATCCTTTGTGATGAGGTTAGCGATCATGTCCAACTCCTACAAGTCCACCATTTCAACATTGTGGCTACCTTAACTTTTTAAGCTGAGATGTAGCAAGCCTTTTAAATGAAAAAAAACGATTACAATTTACGCAACCAACATCCCCCGATGATAACTTTAAAACACTTGGGTTACTGTAGGTGTAAATGCTTGAAGCCGTTCCGTTAATGTAGACAGACAAAGGCCGAGACGATCAGAGGAGGTATGATTAGTGCATACTGCAGGCAAAATAAGCGATTTTACAGCGATAGCGGTGAACGTAACCATACCATAATCGATATAAATCATTCGCCGCAATGATCAATGGCCTCACCACATTGGCCTGGCCTAGCTCCTGCTGATACTACTCTTAGGCTGGCGCCGGACGGCGAACTCCTTGCGAACACGGACTGACCGACGCTAAATCAATAAACCCGTTCTTGGTCTCTTCAGAACAAAAAGAAACAGCGCGCCTCTTGCAAAAAACCGGTGGTGGTGTTCCTTTTGCGAAGATTGGGCTGTTCAACCCCGACTTACTAAGAAAGATAAGCTACTACTACAAGTACAGCGAAGGGGATTGGTTGACGGATCTCTCAGTAAAATACTTACAATTTATTTAACAGCCAATTAAATTTTTTTTCCAAAAATTAAAACAACAAGTGAAATGGGGAGCCCCTGTAATCTCTGTTTCATCTAATCCTATGATCCCACTCTGGGTTCACATTCAAAGATTTTCGTTGACAGTGGAATCACTGGAATCCCTTTATCCTAAAGTGCAAAGGGACAAAGACGTTAAACCAACGAGATACACCCGCGGAAATACCACCGATACGATTACAAAAGTTTAAAGAGTAGGGCGAGAAGATCAAGAAGGTCGACTAAATGCCCCGGGAATGGAACAAATGCAACTACTGGAATTACGCGAACGGGGAAAGGGCGAACACAAAGCCGACTCAGGACGAACGGCCCCACGGGGACGCGGCAAGGCAGCCGAGACGGGCATCGGATAAGAGAGTTGTGGTCCCATCGGTCGAGGCGGGAAGACCGGCCGGCCAAGAGCGGACAGGAGCGGAGAAAAAGGACGCTGCAACGTCTCCTGCACTTCTATCGGGGCAGAAAAAGGAACGCCGGGGAGAACGTCAGCCGTCTACACTCTCCTTTCGAAAGATGCACTCTGCGGAGGTCTCGGAAGAGACGAAACATTCGGAAACTCCCCTCAGGCAGCGACGAACCATTCTCTCCCGAAATTTTCGGGGAGAAAAAGAACGCGGAGGACGGGGCAGAGAAACAGAAAACCTCCCAATGTGCTGGCGAATGAACACAGGACGTTCAACTTTTTCAATACTTGTCAACTAAATATTGGAAACGATTCATGACAGCTCTGTGAATCTGACCAGCAGCTCTCTTTTCTGTTCAAAATCAAGTGTGAAACAATTTTTCACTCGCAGAAAATCGTATTCGTGTGCTAGTAACCATGCTACGACAACTCTGAAGTCAGGTTTTCGGGCCATCACAATTAGCGCTTATTATAAATGATGTTAGAAAAGTGTACAATGTAGTTGTGAAGGTGTAATTGTAACTCTAAAGTGTAAAATCATGCGAGTAAATTATAAAATGCGCAATTGGTTCTGGAAAATCCATTTTAAACATTTTACTGTTACACTTTTCTCTTTACAATCACTATATACACTTTTTTAACATCATTGGGCAGAGTATTAAACGCTAACCCTGATGGACGCCTTGCGGGCCCCGAATGCCTATACGTGAGGTTTCCTTGAGAGTTTGAAGACTTACGTTAGACATTGGAATGAGAATTATGTAACTATTTATTATGAAACAAACAACTTTGGCTTGGGATAAAAAGTCAGGGAATCTAAAACAATGTCGTTATCTCCAATGCGACATTTAAAGGAATGACAATGTTTGAAAGACAAAAATAAAACAAGTAGCCAGTCCTTACCGATTATAAGATGATTCGACTCTCTAAACTGATTGCGGGGACCTCGAACACCGTAGTCCCGGGAGAATGTAAATCTCGGATTTCTTAATCTGGAAGTGACCGCTGTATCGGCCGAATGGTAGGTGCCAAAAGAAACATAGACACACGCACTGGCACTCAAATACTCTCAAAAAAAAAAAACTCTGTCCTTTACCTCCAAAGTCCAGCCGAGTCTCACTTCCAAGACATTTAATGCCGCAAAGCTAAACTGGATTACAAGGAAAAAATAGAATTTAGTCAACCAGAGTTGCAACTATGCAATGACAGAGTTGTTAACATGCGTATCTTTGTGTCGTCGTTCGTAGGCTTTCCATACGGATGGCTTAATTCTTTCAAAAGGATTTTCTTTCTCATCCAGGGATCGTTGGATGGTCTTGATGCATTTAAAGGCATTCCATTCCTCAGGGGTCACTCCTCCAACCTGAACTGCAAAGTTGACGTCGTCAGAGTCGAATATCCGATAGGATGGCGGGTTATCCTAAGCAACTTTCATCAATTCAATCTTCAGGCTTACCTTTTCGAATTGAGGTCTTTTAGTGTCGGGGGTAACGTATTTTCCTGTCTTCGCAAGGAATTCATGTCTGTCCATAATGTCATCAAGCGCCAAGTTCATCCAATTCAAACTGTCTGAGAGAGAATCCGACTCTATTTTCATGTGGAAGAAGATGTATTCGTACTTAAGTTCAAGTTCTTCAAATGATTGGAGAACTATCTCAGGCGATTGTATAAGCATTTTGGTTACCTAAGGAATCGTAAATTAGCACCGGTCCATAATGGGCAAATTTTGAGAAGTCGTTCGAATAAGGGGCGCAGCTGAGGAATTGGTCTGGGGGGGGGAGGTCCCCCCCCCCAGTTTTTAATTCATAGTTTTAAATATGTACCTGTTTGCGGCTGAAAAAATTTGATATATTTTCGATGAGCCGGGACATTTGTTCTGGTTGACTGGAAACCAAAACGGATGGCGCCTTTCGTACGATTCTTCCTAATTGAGGACCAGCCAGAATTCCAAAGTTTGTAAATACCGCCAATCGACACGACATTTCGCTTGGAACGACGTTAGATAAGTACTCGATGTTCCTGAAAAGGCTGCGGCTACCCTTCATTTGGGGCAGATCAGGTATCGGGTCGATAGTTATTTTTCTTGTAAAATAGGTTGACTGGCTAGCCAACGGGGGTTACTACGTGTTCACACTGGAGGATAGGTGAACACGTAGTAACCCCCGCTCATGAGCTCGCGACCTATATACATAGGTGGCCGAGGTCAAGCTAGATGTTCAAAATATTTTCAAAATAGCTAAACTAGATGACTAATCTGCGAGAATTACTTTGGGTATGCTTGGTCGTGACCTAGCTAGCTAGTTCAGGCAGTCCCTAAAATTATGAAATCCGTGTTTTTCGGTAAAAACAAGCTAGTTCATTACCTAGGTCGTGAGCTAGGTCAGGATTAATGTCCAAAGTCCTCTCAACTAGTTGATCCAGACGGTTTTGGCTTCGGTTAAATCAGAATATCACAACCATACTGACTATGGTCATGACTTAGATCGTATGCTTAGTGACGACGTAATGACCACCCCAGTTGATCGTTTTCGGGGAATTTTGGGTAACCATCTTGACATATGTTCATGATCTAGACCTTTTTGTCCTTAGCGGTTATGACTTCCAAAAAACGTTTTTTTTGGCTGTCATGCCAACTCATCGGTCAGCGATGCAAACAATTTTACTATATTGGTGATAAATATTGGGCCGATAATCAGAGATTGCCACGGTCAAAATTTCGGCTCCGGCTCTTAGCTCCCAGAGCCGAGGCCAAATTTGCATCTCCGGCTCCGTGTAAATTTTGAAAAGTTCTCCGGCTCCTGTGCAAAAAAATAAAAAAAAAATATTTTTCCAAAAATAAAAGCTATTAGTGCCAAAGATCATATAGCCAACGTTTTTGCAGCCAGGTTGTACGCAACACATCCTCCCCAGTATTTTTCAAGCAATTTGATCACAAAATTTCTACTTTTCTAAACGCTGAGAAGCCTGGATCCGACTTTGGGCTCAGGAGCCAAGAGCCGGCTCCGGAGCCGTGGCAACCTTTGCCGATAATACCCGATCTGCCCAAATGCAAGGTTGCGGAAAAGGCGTATGATTCGCTAAATTGAACGTACTGTGAGTAGAAACGTAGCGCCGACTCAAAGGTGAAAGAGCAGTAGCCGACCAGAATATTCAAGATTTGGACAACTTCGCCCCCATTTGCAGCAATTTTCTTAAAAATCTCCGGATCCGACACCAGAGCATCACGCAGGAATTCCACTTTGACTCCTAAAAAATCCTTAATCAACATGCTGTCCATACCTTCCAAATTCAATGCCTTCAACGGTTCCAAAATCTTGTTTGTAGCGAACTCGTCTGCTAAAGGGAGAAAAAATCTTGATCCAGCATCATTGTGTTTCTTCACAATATCACTTAGGAATTGACGATCAATACGACCGGAACTTTGGTATCTAACCGACCACAAATTTGACAACACAAGTACTCTACGGCTCATTGCTGGAAATTTTTTTAAACATAACAACATTATATAATAGTCTCCTTACTTTAATATCGTGAATAACGAAATGTACCCGTGGTACCATTTCATTTTAAGCTATAGTGTAACTATCCTCCCTCAATCTTTGATTTCGGCCTATCACGAATAAAATTAAAATTTCTTCCCAAACGCAATTTTAGTCTGAACTAGCTTGTAAACGCCCACAAATTGGGCACTTATATTCTCCCCCTATAGAAAAATTTTGGTAACAAAAGTAATAAACTTCGAACGAAAAAACTTAATCTAACTTAAAATTTGGAAAGAGTGAGGGACATTTTCCGTACGGTACTGTAACCTTCAACATACCATATCGATTACTGGCATAAATTGGAAAGAGTGTAACCAGCATAAGAAGAATATTATATATCTGCTAAATAAGAAGAAATATATATCCCCCTAAAATTACCGTAATCCCAGATTTTCTCAAAAGCATATATTTTTATTTTCGTGATTTTTTTGCTAAAATACTCCCCTGTCTATTCTGAGTAAATTTCCAGTCCCAAAAGTAAATTCCCGTAGACTGAAGAAATAATAAACGAAACAACGCAATATACTCAACTCGGAAAATTTGTAGTAGTTATTTATTATGACAAAGTGAGACCGACTAGAATCCGTAAAATGCAATAATAAAGCAAGTGAAAAAAGTAAATGAGATTATTATAACAGTTGACTAAGCCATTCTTATTTGACAATCACCATTCTGGGTAATGTAACGAACCCATGGGAGAGCTTGGTACCCACTTTTCTCAATGATCTTGAGATAACGTACCTGAAATCAAGTTATTTCTTCCGCATGAACAGCTATACCTGAATTCCGGATGTTGTAAAATACGGAATCTCAAAGCGTATTTTCATAGGTCGCCTGCCCTCGGCTTCATCCCCCACCACGGACGGCAGTCGGAACTGGGCTCGCATCAGATACTCTTTGCCTCCGGGGAAACTTTTTATATTCCATACAAATGCATTGTCTTCCGGGACGTACTTTGCTGATCCTATGGCTGCTTTGAACTTCGGAGTGTCCGCGTCACGTGGCACCGGAATAACCACCTCGACATTATTAGCCGTGGACCGTCGCTTGAATTGAGATTTGGCCTGAAATGGCGAATAAAATGAAAGCACTCCGTTACGAAAGTATACCTACCCCCTGGAAAATTGCTGTATCTAGGGTTTGGTAAGAGTTGTCGAAAAAAAGTTTGGGTCGGTTTGGCAACTATTTTAATGCTTCTGCCCGTTTTAACCCTTTCCGGACGAGTCGGCACCTCCATGCAGCAATGGAAGAGGTTACCTAGTGAGTAATAATATAATAGTGGTTCAGCCCATCGAAGCTTTATTTGGGACTTATGACAAAAAATGTCCTAAAAAATACCCCCAGTTGACATAACCCTTATTACTGTTTTTTAATGACCTGTAAATTAGAAACTACCCCAAGTTAAAGTCTAGGAGTCCTACTACTGTTACGAACTGTCCAAGTCGGATTTAGTTATCGACTTTTGGAAATTGAATTTTAAATTTCGACCAATTTTTGCCCTGAAATCTAGTATATCTTCCGCCGGAACCAACCATTCTGGTCCAGATGTGGTTTTTCTGAATCTGTTGTGATGCTTGCTTCTTCCTAGAATGCTCTCACGAATGGAATTAGCAGTTTTTCGATAGCTCTTACCAAACCTTAGATCCTGCAAGTATGTACAAGTGTATGTACAACTTTAGGATACTTGAAGGTTCAGTTGTTAAGATGCAAAAGTAGTAATTTTACCTTAATCATAAATTCAATCCGTGAATGCGAAAACTTCTCCACGACTGTCTCTACCCATATCAACGGTTTTACAACCGTTGTGAGTCGATAATTCATTAACTCGAATTCGCCATCCGGAGGAATAAAACTTATCGTACGATCGTTTTCAAATCTGGAGAGGCGAACGCACTGATGAAACTTAACATCTTCCAATTCTACGGCTTTGTTTTTGCCACCTAAAATATTAAATTAATATCGGCATAACTTACGTCCTGAGTTCTCGAACTGTACCTTGTCGTTAAGTCCGAGTCGAAGTTCAGGCATTCCGGACAAATAAACCCTCATTTTCACAGAACCAACAATCTCGCTTTGCAGAACGGTCCCGTTTGCATTAGCCTAAGACGAGAATATAGACTATAAAAAAATACCCCACCAGCATATTAACAGATTCAATGACATCAAGAAACACTTCGTTCTTCCGGTATCTAATGCCCTCTGATCTCCAAGATACTGCATTCGTAACCGCCATCGGAGGTCTGGGGGCTTCTAATTTGTGGCCTTCTTGAGTAATATATCTGGAATAAAGCCCCTATAAAAATTTAAAATGTCACTTACTCTCTCAAAATTCTGGCCTCAGTGGTCTGTGGATATCCAAAATCCATAATTTCGTCCATCAATTCATAAATTATGACGAAATTATCGCGAATTGACTCTTCTTCGACATCTTTGAAGTATTCACAGAACACGCTGACCATCTTATACAAAAATGATTGAACCAGAGCAATATTTACGTTTTTTTGGGATATGGCCACAACTAAACCATTAAGATTTTTTTCTATCAGCACCCACCATAAATATTGTTGTACTTGATGAATGCAAACGTGATGTCCTCATGGTTAATAATTGGAGTTAGTGTGCCTTCCTCTTCCATGTCGACCAATATGGGTATAAACTTATCAATTACATTCATATCAATATCCCCACGATAATTTCTAGATATAATTACCTGAAAAATTTTAATGATATAATATAAGAAAATTGAGGCCACCCATATCATACCCACCTTTCCTTTCAAATCCAAAATAAATATAGCACTACAAGCCATCGCCGTCTGTAGTAATTATGCCTTTATTGTAGAAAACTAATATTATAATCGGAGCAAAAAAACTCCAGATTTTTTAGATATATTTTTGCTAAGAGAGCGCCTTACGCGTCTATTGCGCTTGCAGCTTGCGCCCGATACTCCGGAAATTCGAAAATAGGTTTTGAATGAAGAAAACTGTTACAAATCCAAATAAGGCCTAGGCCCTACTACTAGGCCTCGTTTGGACGCCGAATGGCCAAAAATACACTGCAACTCAAACCTTACAGGCTCCAAAAAGCTCAGCGACTCACGGAAGACGGCAAGCTAGTATGGCTCGAAAGATGTCGGAAAATCCAGCGTGATAGGTTTCGCTAAGAAACTTCTTTACGTATTTTCCGATCCCGTGTTAGACCGAATGTTTTCACTTTTTTACATTGATAAATTTATTAACAACCAAATAAAACCTTGAGATTGGCATCATGTAGATAAGCATTGAACAATAATAGCAATATTAGTCTATATACTTGCTGGTGAAAACAATGTCGGTCGTTACAAAGTAATCAAAATTGAGAATACCTATGGGAAAGACGAAAAAGGCAAAGAAAACCCAGCTTAGAATTCCGGCAACTTGTCCGTATTATATAATCGAATAATATTTTTCAGCCGTTAATCACGGGGCTGAACATGATATGGTAATATATTTCAAGTATGTGGACGTAATTGGGGAAGATTCTACGGGGTTGGCAGGAGAAGAGATATCTTTCGTTTAGACAGTTAACAATTACAACATGGCACAATAATTTCTGATTCGATGTCGGGTTCGTCTTAAAGGCGCATCGGCGCGCGACCGGCGGTGATGGCCAGGTTCAAGAAGTCGGGTTTCCAATGGGACAACACGTGGAGTGGTCGCGGGGAACACTTCCAAATCATGCTTTTCGTCGCCAATGTAGGACAGTTCGTCCAGGAGTCGGACGATTGGGACTTCGTCGAATTGGGTGTATCTTATGCTAGGTCCGGGGTTTCCATCACGATGAACGTCGTGAAATTCGATGTAATCAGTCCAACTTCTTTCGGGATAATAACCGCGTAAAATCGATTCGCGGTCGTATAGATTAGATCTGTATGACTTGTAAGTGTGTTTTGACGCACTTCTTGACGATCTTAAATTACAGTTTGAGTACCCGGAGGGATCTGTTTGAATCCATCTGTCAGACTGAAGTGGACCTTGGGACCGACTTCGGTATGTTTTATAACGGCGTTCCACATCGGCATGTCTCGGCATGTACCTTCTGCTATTTGGAGTAGATTGTCGTATTGGAGAATTAGCCCTCGGCGAGAAGGTAGTGCAGTCACCTACCGGCGAACCATAATTGTAAACAATAACATCCTCTGTATACTTTTGGTGTTTATTCCTGTACTCCCTTTCCATAACTACTTTTCTCGTATACGAGATCGTTGTTTTTTCAGTAATTGTAGTCCATCCAGTTACCCGTCTCGATTCCGACAGTGAACGTCCGGTTGACAAGTATTTACTACCATAGGAGGTCCTGTAGAAACTGTCGCCTCCATGCTTGTACTTCGCTTCGTTTACCTCCAGATAAGATGGCATCGAGAGTTCTCTCCTTGGGGGTAGTGATTCTAAGTTCGAGTCAACTCTGTACCGCGATTTCCTGATTGGACTGACAGCGGTCGTATGGTCAATGATAACGCGACCATCTTCCCTCCACTCTGTTCGCGTTGATGACTGTGGGCCGAGAACAACTGTATGCGTTTTGTCTTTGGTACCATTCTTTTCGTCCAGGACTAGCCTTACTGTATTTCCGTCGGTTATGAATTCCCTCTTTGCTCCGGTAGCGACAAAGACATCTACTGGATATTGCCGCATTTCCTTTTCTTTTCGTAAGGATTTTAGAGGGGCCTCATGATACCGTAAATTCAGCTCATCGCGTTCCCATCCTGTGATTTTTGATTTCCATACCTTCTCAGATACATATTCCTTTTCAGTGGAAACACTGTATTCGCCCCCGACTAATTCATCTGTATGGAAAACCAACCTTGGTGTCGGTTTTGGAAACTCGTTTCTTACAGAGAGATGTTTGGGCTCCTCAATGTCACTGCGACCAGAATGGAACACAGAAACGTGGTGTTCGAGAGGTAGGCCATCGACTTCACCTTGACGCCTGGTTTCATCAACAGGTCCGCTGTAGACCTCGGTTGTAGGATAGTCTTCGTGAGCTGGTGTTCTCTTGAACATGCCAACGATTTTTCCAATGGTATCGGTCTTTTCTTTGGCTGGTTCTGGCACTGGCTCGGCATGCTTGGGCTCCTCAATGTCACTGCGACCAGAATGGTACACAGAAACGTGGTGTTCGAGAGGTAGGCCATCAAGTTCGTCCTGGCGCCTGGTTTCATCAACAGGTCCGCTGTAGACCTCGGTTGTAGGATAGTCTTCGTGAGCTGGTGTTCTCTTGAACATGCCAACGATCTTGCCGATCTTGTCGGTCTTTTCTTTGGCTGGCTCTGGCACTGGTTCGGCATGCTTGAGCTCCTCAATGTCACTGCGACCAGAATGGTACACAGAGACGTGGTGTTCGAGAGGTAGGCCATCGACTTCACCTTGACGCCTGGTTTCATCAACAGGTCCGCTGTAGACCTCGGTTGTAGGATAGTCTTCGTGAGCTGGTGTTCTCTTGAACATGCCAACGATTTTTCCAATGGTATCGGTCTTTTCTTTGGCTGGTTCTGGCACTGGCTCGGCATGCTTGGGCTCCTCAATGTCACTGCGACCAGAATGGTACACAGAAACGTGGTGTTCGAGAGGTAGGCCATCGACTTCACCTTGACGCCTGGTTTCATCAACAGGTCCGCTGTAGACCTCGGTTGTAGGATAGTCTTCGTGAGCTGGTGTTCTCTTGAACATGCCAACGATTTTTCCAATGGTATCGGTCTTTTCTTTGGCTGGTTCTGGCACTGGCTCGGCATGCTTGGGCTCCTCAATGTCACTGCGACCAGAATGGTACACAGAAACGTGGTGTTTGAGAGGTAGGCCATCGACTTCACCTTGACGCCTGGTTTCATCAACAGGTCCGCTGTAGACCTCGGTTGTAGGATAGTCTTCGTGAGCTGGTGTTCTCTTGAACATGCCAACGATTTTTCCAATGGTATCGGTCTTTTCTTTGGCTGGTTCTGGCACTGGCTCGGCATGCTTGGGCTCCTCAATGTCACTGCGACCAGAATGGTACACAGAAACGTGGTGTTCGAGAGGTAGGCCATCAACTTCGTCCTGGCGCCTGGCTTCATCAACAGGTCCGCTGTAGACCTCGGTTGTAGGATAGTCTTCGTGAGCTGGTGTTCTCTTGAACATGCCAACGATCTTGCCGATCTTGTCGGTCTTTTCTTTGGCTGGCTCTGGCACTGGTTCGGCATGCTTGAGCTCCTCAATGTCACTGCGACCAGAATGGTACACAGAAACGTGGTGTTCGAGAGGTAGGCCATCGACTTCACCTTGACGCCTGGTTTCATCAACTGGTCCGCTGTAGACCTCGGTTGCAGGATAGTCTTCGTGAGCTGGTGTTCTCTTGAACATGCCAACGATTTTTCCAATGGTATTGGTCTTTTCTTTGGCTGGTTCTGGCACTGGTTCGGCATGCTTGGGCTCCTCAATGTCACTGCGACCAGAATGGTACACAGAAACGTGGTGTTCGAGAGGTAGGCCATCGACTTCACCTTGACGCCTGGTTTCATCAACAGGTCCGCTGTAGACCTCGGTTGTAGGATAGTCTTCGTGAGCTGGTGTTCTCTTGAACATGCCAACGATTTTTCCAATGGTATCGGTCTTTTCTTTGGCTGGTTCTGGCACTGGCTCGGCATGCTTGGGCTCCTCAATGTCACTGCGACCAGAATGGTACACAGAAATGTGGTGTTCGAGAGGTAGGCCATCGACTTCACCTTGACGCCTGGTTTCATCAACAGGTCCGCTGTAGACCTCGGTTGTAGGATAGTCTTCGTGAGCTGGTGTTCTCTTGAACATGCCAACGATCTTGCCGATCTTGTCGGTCTTTTCTTTGGCTGGCTCTGGCACTGGTTCGGCATGCTTGAGCTCCTCAATGTCACTGCGACCAGAATGGTACACAGAAACGTGGTGTTCGAGAGGTAGGCCATCAACTTCGTCCTGGCGCCTGGTTTCATCAACAGGTCCGCTGTAGACCTCGGTTGTAGGATAGTCTTCGTGAGCTGGTGTTCTCTTGAACATGCCAACGATCTTGCCGATCTTGTCGGTCTTTTCTTTGGCTGGCTCTGGCACTGGTTCGGCATGCTTGAGCTCCTCAATGTCACTGCGACCAGAATGGTACACAGAAACGTGGTGTTCGAGAGGTAGGCCATCGACTTCACCTTGACGCCTGGTTTCATCAACAGGTCCGCTGTAGACCTCGGTTGTAGGATAGTCTTCGTGAGCTGGTGTTCTCTTGAACATGCCAACGATTTTTCCAATGGTATCGGTCTTTTCTTTGGCTGGCTCTGGCACTGGTTCGGCATGCTTGAGCTCCTCAATGTCACTGCGACCAGAATGGTACACAGAAACGTGGTGTTCGAGAGGTAGGCCATCGACTTCACCTTGACGCCTGGTTTCATCAACTGGTCCGCTGTAGACCTCGGTTGTAGGATAGTCTTCGTGAGCTGGTGTTCTCTTGAACATGCCAACGATCTTGCCGATCTTGTCGGTCTTTTCTTTGGCTGGTTCTGGCACAGGCTCGGCATGGTTGGGCTCCTCAATGTCACTGCGACCAGAATGGTACACAGAAACGTGGTGTTCGAGAGGTAGGCCATCGACTTCACCTTGACGCCTGGTTTCATCAACAGGTCCGCTGTAGACCTCGGTTGTAGGATAGTCTTCGTGAGCTGGTGTTCTCTTGAACATGCCAACGATTTTTCCAATGGTATCGGTCTTTTCTTTGGCTGGTTCTGGCACTGGCTCGGCATGCTTGGGCTCCTCAATGTCACTGCGACCAGAATGGTACACAGAAACGTGGTGTTTGAGAGGTAGGCCATCGACTTCACCTTGACGCCTGGTTTCATCAACAGGTCCGCTGTAGACCTCGGTTGTAGGATAGTCTTCGTGAGCTGGTGTTCTCTTGAACATGCCAACGATTTTTCCAATGGTATCGGTCTTTTCTTTGGCTGGTTCTGGCACTGGCTCGGCATGCTTGGGCTCCTCAATGTCACTGCGACCAGAATGGTACACAGAAACGTGGTGTTCGAGAGGTAGGCCATCAACTTCGTCCTGGCGCCTGGCTTCATCAACAGGTCCGCTGTAGACCTCGGTTGTAGGATAGTCTTCGTGAGCTGGTGTTCTCTTGAACATGCCAACGATCTTGCCGATCTTGTCGGTCTTTTCTTTGGCTGGCTCTGGCACTGGTTCGGCATGCTTGAGCTCCTCAATGTCACTGCGACCAGAATGGTACACAGAAACGTGGTGTTCGAGAGGTAGGCCATCGACTTCACCTTGACGCCTGGTTTCATCAACTGGTCCGCTGTAGACCTCGGTTGCAGGATAGTCTTCGTGAGCTGGTGTTCTCTTGAACATGCCAACGATTTTTCCAATGGTATTGGTCTTTTCTTTGGCTGGTTCTGGCACTGGTTCGGCATGCTTGGGCTCCTCAATGTCACTGCGACCAGAATGGTACACAGAAACGTGGTGTTCGAGAGGTAGGCCATCGACTTCACCTTGACGCCTGGTTTCATCAACAGGTCCGCTGTAGACCTCGGTTGTAGGATAGTCTTCGTGAGCTGGTGTTCTCTTGAACATGCCAACGATTTTTCCAATGGTATCGGTCTTTTCTTTGGCTGGTTCTGGCACTGGCTCGGCATGCTTGGGCTCCTCAATGTCACTGCGACCAGAATGGTACACAGAAACGTGGTGTTCGAGAGGTAGGCCATCGACTTCACCTTGACGCCTGGTTTCATCAACAGGTCCGCTGTAGACCTCGGTTGTAGGATAGTCTTCGTGAGCTGGTGTTCTCTTGAACATGCCAACGATCTTGCCGATCTTGTCGGTCTTTTCTTTGGCTGGCTCTGGCACTGGTTCGGCATGCTTGAGCTCCTCAATGTCACTGCGACCAGAATGGTACACAGAAACGTGGTGTTCGAGAGGTAGGCCATCAACTTCGTCCTGGCGCCTGGTTTCATCAACAGGTCCGCTGTAGACCTCGGTTGTAGGATAGTCTTCGTGAGCTGGTGTTCTCTTGAACATGCCAACGATCTTGCCGATCTTGTCGGTCTTTTCTTTGGCTGGCTCTGGCACTGGTTCGGCATGCTTGAGCTCCTCAATGTCACTGCGACCAGAATGGTACACAGAAACGTGGTGTTCGAGAGGTAGGCCATCGACTTCACCTTGACGCCTGGTTTCATCAACAGGTCCGCTGTAGACCTCGGTTGTAGGATAGTCTTCGTGAGCTGGTGTTCTCTTGAACATGCCAACGATCTTGCCGATCTTGTCGGTCTTTTCTTTGGCTGGTTCTGGCACAGGCTCGGCATGGTTGGGCTCCTCAATGTCACTGCGACCAGAATGGTACACAGAAACGTGGTGTTCGAGAGGTAGGCCATCGACTTCACCTTGACGCCTGGTTTCATCAACAGGTCCGCTGTAGACCTCGGTTGTAGGATAGTCTTCGTGAGCTGGTGTTCTCTTGAACATGCCAACGATTTTTCCAATGGTATCGGTCTTTTCTTTGGCTGGTTCTGGCACTGGCTCGGCATGCTTGGGCTCCTCAATGTCACTGCGACCAGAATGGTACACAGAAACGTGGTGTTCGAGAGGTAGGCCATCGACTTCACCTTGACGCCTGGTTTCATCAACAGGTCCGCTGTAGACCTCGGTTGTTGGATGGTCTTCGTGAGCTGGTGTTCTCTTGAACATGCCAACGATTTTTCCAATGGTATCGGTCTTTTCTTTGGCTGGCTCTGGCACTGGCTCGGCATGCTTGGGCTCCTCTATGTCACTGCGACCACAATGGTACACAGAAACGTGGTGTTCGAGAGGTAGGCCATCGACTTCACCTTGACGCCTGGTTTCATCAACAGGTCCGCTGTAGACCTCGGTTGTTGGATAGTCTTCGTGAGCTGGTGTTCTCTTGAACATGCCAACGATTTTTCCAATGGTATCGGTCTTTTCTTTGGCTGGTTCTGGCACTGGTTCGGAATGCTTGGGCTCCTCAATGTCACTGCGACCAGAATGGTACACAGAAACGTGGTGTTCGAGAGGTAGGCCATCGACTTCACCTTGACGCCTGGTTTCATCAACTGGTCCGCTGTAGACCTCGGTTGTAGGATAGTCTTCGTGAGCTGGTGTTCTCTTGAACATGCCAACGATCTTGCCGATCTTGTCGGTCTTTTCTTTGGCTGGCTCTGGGACTGGCTCGGCATGCTTGGGCTCCTCAATGTCACTGCGACCAGAATGGTACACAGAAACGTGGTGTTCGAGAGGTAGGCCATCGACTTCACCTTGACGCCTGGTTTCATCAACAGGTCCGCTGTAGACCTCGGTTGTAGGATAGTCTTCGTGAGCTGGTGTTCTCTTGAACATGCCAACGATCTTGCCGATCTTGTCGGTCTTTTCTTTGGCTGGTTCTGGCACAGGCTCGGCATGGTTGGGCTCCTCAATGTCACTGCGACCAGAATGGTACACAGAAACGTGGTGTTCGAGAGGTAGGCCATCGACTTCACCTTGACGCCTGGTTTCATCAACAGGTCCGCTGTAGACCTCGGTTGTAGGATAGTCTTCGTGAGCTGGTGTTCTCTTGAACATGCCAACGATCTTGCCGATCTTGTCGGTCTTTTCTTTGGCTGGTTCTGGCACAGGCTCGGCATGGTTGGGCTCCTCAATGTCACTGCGACCAGAATGGTACACAGAAACGTGGTGTTCGAGAGGTAGGCCATCGACTTCACCTTGACGCCTGGTTTCATCAACTGGTCCGCTGTAGACCTCGGTTGTAGGATAGTCTTCGTGAGCTGGTGTTCTCTTGAACATGCCAACGATCTTGCCGATCTTGTCGGTCTTTTCTTTGGCTGGCTCTGGGACTGGCTCGGCATGCTTGGGCTCCTCAATGTCACTGCGACCAGAATGGTACACAGAGACGTGGTGTTCGAGAGGTAGGCCATCGACTTCACCTTGACGCCTGGTTTCATCAACAGGTCCGCTGTAGACCTCGGTTGTTGGATAGTCTTCGTGAGCTGGTGTTCTCTTGAACATGCCAACGATTTTTCCAATGGTATCGGTCTTTTCTTTGGCTGGCTCTGGCACTGGCTCGGCATGCTTGGGCTCCTCTATGTCACTGCGACCCGAATGGTACACAGAAACGTGGTGTTCGAGAGGTAGGCCATCAACTTCGTCCTGGCGCCTGGTTTCATCAACAGGTCCGCTGTAGACCTCGGTTGTAGGATAGTCTTCGTGAGCTGGTGTTCTCTTGAACATGCCAACGATCTTGCCGATCTTGTCGGTCTTTTCTTTGGCTGGCTCTGGCACTGGCTCGGCATGCTTGGGCTCCTCAATGTCACTGCGACCAGAATGGTACACAGAGACGTGGTGTTCGAGAGGTAGGCCATCGACTTCACCTTGACGCCTGGTTTCATCAACAGGTCCGCTGTAGACCTCGGTTGTAGGATAGTCTTCGTGAGCTGGTGTTCTCTTGAACATGCCAACGATCTTGCCGATCTTGTCGGTCTTTTCTTTGGCTGGCTCTGGCACTGGCTCGGCATGCTTGGGCTCCTCAATGTCACTGCGACCAGAATGGTACACAGAAACGTGGTGTTCGAGAGGTAGGCCATCGACTTCACCTTGACGCCTGGTTTCATCAACAGGTCCGCTGTAGACCTCGGTTGTAGGATAGTCTTCGTGAGCTGGTGTTCTCTTGAACATGCCAACGATTTTTCCAATGGTATCGGTCTTTTCTTTGGCTGGTTCTGGCACTGGCTCGGCTTGCTTGGGCTCCTCAATGTCACTGCGACCCGAATGGTACACAGAAACGTGGTGTTCGAGAGGTAGGCCATCGACTTCACCTTGACGCCTGGTTTCATCAACAGGTCCGCTGTAGACCTCGGTTGTAGGATAGTCTTCGTGAGCTGGTGTTCTCTTGAACATGCCAACGATCTTGCCGATCTTGTCGGTCTTTTCTTTGGCTGGCTCTGGCACTGGCTCGGCATGCTTGGGCTCCTCTATGTCACTGCGACCCGAATGGTGCACAGAAACGTGGTGTTCGAGAGGTAGGCCATCGACTTCACCTTGACGCCTGGTTTCATCCACAGGTCCGCCGTAGACCTCGGTTGTAGGATAGTCTTCGTGAGCTGGTGTTCTCTTGAACATGCCAACGATTTTTCCAATGGTATCGGTCTTTTCTTTGGCTGGTTCTGGCACTGGCTCGGCATGCTTGGGCTCCTCAATGTCACTGCGACCAGAATGGTACACAGAAACGTGGTGTTCGAGAGGTAGGCCGTCAACTTCGTCCTGGCGCCTGGTTTCATCAACTGGTCCGCTGTAGACCTCGGTTGTTAGATAGTCTTCGTGAGCTGGTGTTCTCTTGAACATGCCAACGATCTTGCCGATCTTGTCGGTCTTTTCTTTGGCTGGCTCTGGCACTGGCTCGGCATGCTTGGGCTCCTCAATGTCACTGCGACCAGAATGGTACACAGAAACGTGGTGTTCGAGAGGCAGGCCATCGACTTCACCTTGACGCCTGGTTTCATCAACAGGTCCGCTGTAGACCTCGGTTGTAGGATAGTCTTCGTGAGCTGGCGTTCTCTTGAACATGCCAACGATTTTTCCAATGGTATCGGTCTTTTCTTTGGCTGGCTCTGGCACTGGCTCGGCATGCTTGGGCTCCTCAATGTCACTGCGACCAGAATGGTACACAGAAACGTGGTGTTCGAGAGGCAGGCCATCGACTTCATCTTGACGCCTGGTTTCATCAACAGGTCCGCTGTAGACCTCGGTTGTTGGATAGTCATCTTGAGCTGGTGTTCTCTTGAACATGCCAACGATCTTGCCGATCTTGTCGGTCTTTTCTTTGGCTGGTTCTGGCACTGGCTCGGCATGCTTGGGCTCCTCAATGTCACTGCGACCCGAATGGTACACAGAAACGTGGTGTTCGAGAGGTAGGCCATCGACTTCACCTTGACGCCTGGTTTCATCAACAGGTCCGCTGTAGAACTCGGTTGTAGGATAGTCTTCGTGAGCTGGTGTTCTCTTGAACATGCCAACGATCTTGCCGATCTTGTCGGTCTTTTCTTTGGCTGGCTCTGGCACTGGCTCGGCATGCTTGGGCTCCTCAATGTCACTGCGACCAGAATGGTACACAGAAACGTGGTGTTCGAGAGGCAGGCCATCGACTTCATCTTGACGCCTGGTTTCATCAACAGGTCCGCTGTAGACCTCGGTTGTTGGATAGTCATCTTGAGCTGGTGTTCTCTTGAACATGCCAACGATCTTGCCGATCTTGTCGGTCTTTTCTTTGGCTGGTTCTGGCACTGGCTCGGCATGCTTGGGCTCCTCAATGTCACTGCGACCAGAATGGTACACAGAGACGTGGTGTTCGAGAGGTAGGCCATCAACTTCGTCCTGGCGCCTGGTTTCATCAACAGGTCCGCTGTAGACCTCGGTTGTTGGATAGTCTTCGTGAGCTGGTGTTCTCTTGAACATGCCAACGATTTTTCCAATGGTATCGGTCTTTTCTTTGGCTGGTTCTGGCACTGGCTCGGCATGCTTGGGCTCTTCAATGTCACTGCGACCAGAATGGTACACAGAGACGTGGTGTTCGAGAGGTAGGCCATCAACCTCGTCCTGGCGCCTGGTTTCATCAACTGGTCCGCTGTAGACCTCGGTTGTTGGATAGTCTTCGTGAGCTGGTGTTCTCTTGAACATGCCAACGATCTTGCCGATCTTGTCGGTCTTTTCTTTGGCTGGTTCTGGCACTGGCTCGGCATGCTTGGGCTCCTCAATGTCACTGCGACCAGAATGGTACACAGAAACGTGGTGTTCGAGAGGCAGGCCATCGACTTCACCTTGACGCCTGGTTTCATCAACAGGTCCGCTGTAGACCTCGGTTGTTAGGATAGTCTTCGTGAGCTGGCGTTCTCTTGAACATGCCAACGATCTTGCCGATCTTGTCGGTCTTTTCTTTGGCTGGTTCTGGCACTGGCTCGGCATGCTTGGGCTCCTCAATGTCACTGCGACCAGAATGGTACACAGAAACGTGGTGT